TGACAAAATGCCCTATTATAATCCTATACAAAACATGAGAGGAGATGTTTAAATACTTATGTTGTTTATATGCAAGTGGTGAGTGCCTTGAGGTGGCAGGCATTTCTTATAAGGCCTGGTTTATGGATCTTGTTGTTGTTGGGAGTTCTCTAGTTCCAGTGGTCCTTCAAGGCAGAGCTGCTGTATCAGAAGTAGCAACTTAATGGAGAGGCTTGGGGTTATCTTCCCTGGGCTATCTTCTACACATTTCTTGATGACCTTTGGAGTCCCAGTTAAATCCCATTTCCTGCAAGTGCAACTTCTATCCCTCACATTCACTGTAAATTGTGACCCATCAGAACATGACACTTGGAAACTTGACACACCATTGAACCTAGGTCTACATGTCATAAACTCTGCAATCACTTTCTCTAACCTTTGTCTAACAGTAGGACAATTAGGTCCAGGCAACCTAAGCGTAATATCTCTCCTCCTCACTATCCCATCCATCAAGAGGTTCCTAATAGTTTCTAACATGGTAATGATAGGCTTATCTCTTGCTTCTATAATGAATGCATTAAATGATTCAGCATGGTTATTAAGTAAGTGATCACACTTAGAAATAGTAGAAAAATGTGATCTAGCCCAATGCTGTGGGTGTACAGATGTGGCTAGCCAATCAAAAGCAGTAACACTCTCATTTTTTAGGACATCCATTGCTTCCAAAAATCCTCTACTGTGGTGGCACTAGCACAATTCCACATCATATCTCTAAGCAACTTTCCTTTATGTTGTTTTTTGAAATTGTTGTGCATATGTTTAAGACAAAATCTATGCTCACAATTTGGTAACAATGTGGCCATAGCATTGCCAAGTCCCTAAAATAGACAAACATATACATATTCAGTAAATGAAATTGGAAATTAGATGTCCAATGAAATTCAGTAAATATCATACCTTCTGTTGGTCAGACATAAATGTCCAATGAAATTGATTAATCATATTCAAATCATCACATAGCAGCTCCATAAACCATTTCCATGTGTCTGTGCACTCGTTCTCCACGACTGCATATGCTATAGGCCAAAATCCATTGTTTGCATCTATCCAAACTGCTGTTAGTAGTTGACCAGGGTATGTACCCGTCAGGAAACAACCATCTATGCAAATGAAAGGTCTGCATCCTAGCAAAAACCCCTCTTTCAATGGTCCCAGGTAACAATAAATCCTCTTAAACCTTTTATTTTCACTCCTAAGGTTGTTTTCTTCATAATTAATTATTAATGTTGACCCTGAGTGTGTTCTTTTGATCTCTTCACAATAATCTCATAACTTACTGTATTGTGTCTTCTCACCACCTTCAATTACATCTTTAGCAATTTTTTTGGCTCTGAAAACCACATTTTTTGAAACACCCACACTATAATCTTCCTCCACAGCTTCCCTAAAGGATTGTAATGTCTATCCAGAATTAGATCTAAGCTTATTCATGTATGTTTCAGATAACCAATTTGTTGTTACATGTCTATTACGCCAGGCCCAGTTGCAGTTCTGGTGCAAATCATTAAAAGTCTTGATTTGTATTGTACTGCTACCTTGCATCTTCGAGGCAAAAATCATCCATTCGCATGGTGGCATGCATTTGGGCCTCACCCTATGTTTCTCATTCGTAATAAACCTTATGTCTTTTCCCTTCCAAAGGACATAATTCTTAATAGCTTTCCTGAATTGTTTGGTCGAGGCAAATACCATTCCCAACTTGAATTCAGGTTTCCTCATGTCTGTTAATGGCCTAAAATCTGGATATCTCCTCTTCGCAGTATCCAACTCATCATCATCATCAGATGAACTATGCAAATACTGAAGTTTATCTGATGCAGCATTGTCAGATATAGCATCATTTTCATTGGCATTAATCTCAGTATTCATATTGCTCTGCACAACACCTTTATCCCTCAATCCACCCAATTCAGCTTCATTATCCACATAAGTATCAAACAAGTAGTCATCAGTTTGTCCATCACTGTTAGAGAAATCCTCATAATTTGATGTATCTAAGTCACATGCATAAGAATTTTCCTCATTTTTTGAATCCTTGCCATCATCTGCAATGTCACATTCTGTATTGGGGATATACTCATCTTCATTTGGTGTGTCGTGTTCTAGGTATACTTCAATTTTCTTGATATTTGGAACTCACTCCAACATTGCTGATATATCATAATCACGCTTTAATACCTTCAACCCTTTTGTGAGATCCATATGTGAAACTTTATACTGATAACCAATAACTCATGTACAACCTAGTTCCTTTGCCATGTCACTTATCTCAAGGATGGACATTAGGTCAGGATCACACCAATCAACATGCCTAATACGCCAGCCCTTATATACCATCTGAGGCCTGCACTCAAATTTTCCACCATAATACAACTCTATAGTGAATAACGTTGAGTTCACACCTATGCAAAAAGTTAGAAAACATCTTCAATCATACCTAGTATATCCTATACCATAAACAATAAAAAAAAAAAAAAAACTCAAGGCATTGCTTTGTCTCCCACTCAAATTAAGGAATGTGGTAAAAAAAACAACAAAATCCATTCGAAATAAGAACTTGTAATTATTAAACCATTTCAAAACAAAACCCAACATCTTCTAAACTTTTCAAATCCAATAACTTTATAAACAACTAATTTTACCACTTTCACACGTACAAATGAATTAAAAATTTCACACTTACCATACATTTGATCTGGATTAAAAGCAACATCCACTGGTCAAATTTTCCAAGGCATGTCTACTTGATGAACACAAGCCCTCTTCTACAAACTGTAACTAGTTCTTCTCAATCGTCCTTGGAATGAATTTTTGCACATGATGTACAATGAATTTGTGGCAATTGATACAAATCGAATTTGGGGGAAGACGTTTGGCGAATAAAGCAATAGGAGGAGGGAAAAGGGAGGAAGTTTGACGCCAATACCCAGATCCATTGAGTATAATGTCCATTATGTCCTTAGTACCTGCAACTTTCCCCATTTCCCATTAGTTTTAACGTTTGAAATAGACGGACTGAGTTGATTGGTACAGATGTAAAAGTATAAGGGTTAAATTGGTAAAATTGAACGTTCAGGGGCCAATTTAAAACTGACACTAAAGTTCGAGGGACATTTATATTATTTATCCTATTTAATTATGCTCATCGTAATAAAAGTAAGTAAATTTTTTAGTCTCTCGATCTACCTCATCACTTTTACAAGAAATAAACACTAGTGTCCGTTGTAGAAAAAAAAATAGAGATTTTTTCAAAAGAATGCTCGGTTGACAAGAAATAAATAATTTACAGAGAGATAGCTCCCATCAACCCACAAAAGTAATGTCTATTTAGACTTAAAAATCTAACTTAATTTGTTGGTATTGATGAGTCAAACTCAAGGGCTCAATTCATGCTATAAGTCCAGTCTGAGCAAAAAGTCCATCTCCAAGAAATCCAGCAAATCTAGCTCAATGTAGTCAACTCGGTCAATCTCATCAAGCTCAAGGAGCTACATCAGCAGGGAACATGCAACCCTTATCCCAAGAGCCTCCTCCTAGCCACCTTGGGGTAAGAGTCATCCAAGTGCCTCCTTCTTGTCACTTTGGGGTAAGGGTCATCCAAGAGCCTCATCCAAGCCGCCTTAGAAAAAGTCAACCTTCACCTCATCCTTTGACTGAGTAGCATAGAGAGCACCTCTACCGCTTTGTCTGTTGAGAAGAAGTTATTAACTTCACTAGAATAATTATTTAGTTGCTATTAAGTCGCCTCAATCTGTTATGAGGCAACTATAAATTGTAAACTCTGCCAACACTTGGGGGCAGATTATATTTTGTTGAACACAACTCTCTCCTCTCCCTTGCAGCTTGTAGCTCTTTGCTCTCCTTGCACATTTGAGTTAATAAAATATCTGGCAACCCTAGCCCTTCAAAAGTGGACGTGGATCACTTTGATTGAACCACTATAATTTTCGTTTTCTCTCTACTTTAATTACTGCATTTATTATTCATACTTGATAGATGGTGTACAAACACAATTTGTGCATCATCATCAGGTATAATGATGCAATTTCATTAAATAAACACTAAATTTCAATATTTAATGGAATTCACAGTCAATCTAAAAGATATAATTAATAAGTAATATTACATTGACCAAATTTTGAGACCCAATTTAAAGCTCAAATGACATGACAGTTGATTATTTGAAATTTTTATTGTAGCCCAAATAATATGATACCAATCAAAAAAATACAAGTTAACTATCATGTCATTTGGGCTCTAAATTTAATCTCAAAATTAGATCAGTCTAACATTATTGATAATAAATTAGGTTAGTAAAAATTTAATTTAATTTACCAACTTAATGACGTGACTTAATTAAAATAATTAACCAACACTAAATTTTAATGTTTAATAACATCCGCAGACTTTCTGCACATTTTGTATGAAAAAGCAAATCTGGATTGTACGAAAATCTTTTTTTTTCCTGCACTTTCCACCACCGTCTTGCTAAACAAACATATAGAAAAGTAGTTTTTTTTTCCCCACTTTCCTTCATTTTCTAGCGTAACAAACAAACCCTAAGAACTGCCATTTTCCTTTGAACATAAGAATCACCATGACTGACGAAGAAAAATCAAGAACAAACTGATACATTGGTTGTGTTAGCCTGGGATATAACCCTTGTTTCCTTTATTCCTTTTTTTTCAGAATAAAACGCTTAGCTTTTCAGCAAAACCAAAAAAAAAAAAAAAACAATAAAATTTAGAAAATTTCATGGACTGATCTTGACAATAAGTGGTGAATCCACAGAAAGCCATCCGAATTCGGCCTATAATAGAGCATCCATAAGGGAGAAATATGAAAGCTGAAAACAACAATTCCTTTGGTATTAAACTCAGTCATCAACGCCAATTGCTCGCGGGTTTTTGCATAACAAACGTATACAGATGTATATCGTAACAGGGGAATGGAAACTATTGCTAGTAGTTCAATCCCCAATCATAAGGTTGGTATACCACTTTCAACTGAGTGTTGGCTAGCAACTCCAGAAAAGCCTGAGACTCCTCTGGCTCCAGGTAATTTGCTGCATGCTTCAGTACCTCAACCTCATTCTTACCAAAATCCACACTGTACCTGAGCAGCCATGACAAAGAAAGGATTAGCTTGAAAGAGAGAGCAACGGATGTGAAAGTACGAGCTAAATGTATTGAAGTTTCAAAAAAAATTTCAAGTAAGGCCTCAACAAATGGGCAATAGGTTTGTCACCTCTGGGTTATCCCCAATACCAAACCGTCAATGAATTATTAACAGAACACAAGACGGACTATGGTTCCTGGTTTCTTTCATTTCCATACCATTCATCAGGACTTTTAGAAGTTTGACCAAGTTAAAAGCACAGCACCCAAGTTTCACTTTTCATCATTGATCTCATTTTTTTGTCACTAGATGCCCTGCACACACGGTTTACCCCTTTGAAGAGAGAATTAGGTAGTTAAATAGGGTTAGAAAAAGAGGTGGTTATTTGGGAAGAAATCAAGAGTAATATTGACATTTCATCAGTAGAGATGGTTGAGTGGAGTTAAAGATGGAGTTATGGGTAGTTATTTGGAAAGAAATAAAAGGTATTATAAACAATTTAGGAGTGGGCACCAAACCCCCTCCTTCCCCTTTATTAACAGTATAGATTCTAGTCAACTTTTATTTACTTTATAAAGCTTATAATGTTCAAATGGAAGTCAGAATCATGCTTGTACCAGAATGCCAAGCACAAAGATTTGTCCATTGTGCATATTTTTTTTTTTTTTGGGCAAAGTACCATTGTGCATATTTGGATGTGTGCATTCATTTACACGTCGTGCTTGTGTGAGTATGCACAGGGGCATGTGTGCCTGCACTTGTGCAGAAGGGTGGGTAGGGTTCGTTTTGGAGGGGGTAAACACACAAGAGAGTAGTAGAAACCACACATACACAAACACAAACCAAAAGGAAACCCTTCTAGAACTCACAGTACTTTCTCTTGGACAAGAATTCAAAAATATGAATTAGAGACCATCTCCAAGAAAAACAACTTACCATTTCAGTGTCTTATTGACTGATGCAACCTTGGCAGTCAAATCAATAATGAGTCCCCCACTTCTTAGAAAATTACAAGCAGCCTCCACCAACTCTTTATCAATGTTCCCAGGTGAGTAGCATCGAAGTGCAGGCCCAGATCGGTTACCACTAACCAGTGCGAAGTGAACAAGAGCCTCCGGGTAAGGAAGAGCCACCTAATCATTGAAAGAGAGAGAGAGTGAATGAATGAACAACCGATCAAGACAGAGCACTTAGACATTATAATGCAAAGCTGGATGTAAGTAAAATTCTATACAACCCTACCCTTCGCATAACACTAAGTACAAATTTTCGACAAAAAACAAAAAAGAAGTTATCTGCTTTGAAATTGGTCCATGTCATGGCATAACTTGTATAAGAAAAATTTTGAACCTTCAAAAGTTCATCATGATATTTGAGGTAAAGGTCAGGTCACATTTGGTAAATAGGTAGACACTAACAAATGCTAAATGATTTTCACGAGATATTTTTTTGAGGGACACTTAAAATGTCACATTATAAATATAAACAATCTTAGTTATTCGTGATTTGATACAATTTACCAACTTTTTCCCAGACCTTGGTATAGGTGGAAGCAGGTACAATATCTTTTGTACAATATATCAGCAGTTACTTGCAGTTTCAAACATCATCATTTTTCATCATGCACGCCAACAATCAGTGTTATATTTTAAATATCCTGACCTATCCCAGAGCAGGCTTTCAAAGTTTCAATCACTTTATTAATCACCACAACAGCCATGGACAGTCACAGAGTTGCCATGTACAGTCACAGAGTTGTCAATAGCATCCTATGAAAAATGACAAAAACAACTATAATAAAGACATGTAGTCGGAGTATCTTACCTTAAAACGTTTGTCTTTGACACCAAATGGCTTAATTAGGTTGTATGGTGGCCTCTGATTGCCTCTTAGAATGCCATGGTGAATAGCTGAAAGTGAATATGGACACCCACCAATAACATATTTGAAGTCTCCAAGTAATTTCCTTCGCTCCAAGGCTCCAGCAGGATGACCCCAAACCAATATTGCATGAATAGCCATCATATTGTGGAGATTTATAAAGAAACAAAGCTTCTCCTCCCTGGGCATATCCTGGACATCAACTCTTTGTAGCTCCTCAACTATCCTCAAGTACCTAGAAGAAGAATTCTCAAGTCAATGCCAAACAAGAGAATGTATGTTCATTAAGTACTGCAGCATATTTATCCATACAACTAACGGAAATAAACAAACCTTGCAAATTCCTCACTCCCATGGATACTTCTGTAGTCAACATGTTTTCCATCTTCAGATGTGTAGGCTTCAAAAATTGCGTAAGACAAAAATCTCAGCCTTGATGAAATTTCTATTATAGGTTTTGGCTTCATTTCAGTTATACCCCTTGAGATGTTTTGACATTGGGACATAATAGGATCATGATCCACGAAGCGATACAAGTGATTACCATCTTCGAATATGTTCTCACTACGATATATGAAGTATCAAAAAGAACAGGCAAAAATATTTCAATCAGATAAGCAAAAGGAGAGAGCAAGGCTAACAGAGGGCAGGGGAGCTGTATATCATAATTTAGACAAAGGAAGAGAAGATAATGCCAAGGTACTCACTCAAGAACATGATGGAAGAAGTGCTTGCTTGCAAGTTTTCGACCAAATTCAATAGCCTAATTCATAAGACAAGAACAGTAAGAAAAATATTAACAACATGATCAAGATGAAAATGCATCAAGTCTCAATCTTTAGTGTTAGGCTGGCATAGTCAGGCTGGCCTTTCAAAACATGACAAAATATTGTTCAATGTTAGATCTTCCAAAAATAAAAATGAACTAGAAAATTTTAAGACCTACATAAAAGGGAACGAATTGTGAGCATGGTTCAAAGAATAGTCCAATGTCCAAGCCATATCCGACTTGGCACTTTCTAATTTGCCTCCCATGTAAATCACGAGTCTTACTCAGCTTGTGATTGGGGCGAAAAAGTCTCAATCGACTTGGTTGAGTTGTCCACACTATCGTCATTGACTCGCAACATATCACATGATAACATCTTCGACGACTGGAAATAGTCTGAATCTCTAGCCATGTATAACTTCTGATTCTATCTATTATTTTGTGTCGCCTGACATTATCCCACGACATCACAATCGATGCTTCTCAACGCCTTTGACTCGACAGCTTATACCTACACCTTGAACCGTGACTGTGAGCTGATGTGAATAAACAAGAGCTTGGCATTCACCATGTGCCTATTAGTCATGTTGTTCTATTTAGAAAAATCATTAACAACTATTTGGAGATATGCGGGTTTTAATGTGAATGGGAAACATGGAAGGTAGGATAAGAAATAAGATTTAAAAATTTGATACAAAATAATTTTACAAAGAAAATTTAGGCACCATGACAGATAGTCGGAACAAAACTTTGTTAAGTTGAGTTGAGTTAAACATCTGTCTTTTATCAAATCTCAAATAAAACAATCAAACGCTGAGCTAAAAGTAAGAATTGCATCAGATATATAAAAATTTACATTAACAAAAAAGTCCCATGTTCCGATAACACAAACCAATCCACGGAAACTTATTGGGCCATAAGGATGAAAAGGACATAATTTCATAAACAGGTGGAATAACCATAGCAAGGCCCTGCACATCAAACAGAAGGTAACGTTCAACTAGAGGTAATTACAAAAAACCACCACGTACTTGGGGGCAGTTGCATTAACCTCCTTTAGCTTCAAACATTTGCAGTAAACCACCCTAAACTTCAAATCAATGTACTAACCATAACTGAGCAAACATTTATTTGAAAAAGTCCAAAATAACCACCACCCTTGTATTTTCAAGTCCTACCATCCTTCATCTTTCACATTTTTCTTTGTACAGACCACCTCAACCAATCCCCTCTATAAGTCTCTCTCGTCAATTAATCAGTGCCAATACCACACCCAACATCTATATCTAGAATTCTCCCTTCTCTGCGTGTAGCTACACATCCAACTCTAACACCACCCACCTGCCAAGGACAAGAACAAGCTCAGCAAACAAACCAAGAGGACAAACAAGCCATGACCAGTGATCATCACCCACAACCTCCATCCTACCTGACCCCATCACCAGCGCCCCCTCTACCACCATTGAAACCATGTGTGCCATCGAATCTCAATCTCACCACCTACACCAAACCCACGACAGCCTAACACCCTAATATATTGTAATCTCGTCCACCCCACACAACCAAAATCCTGCCTCCAACAAAGCCCACAACCTATAACCATTGTCCCCCCACCAGATCAAAGAAAGAAAGTAGATAGATAGGAGATGAACCCAATAGAATAGAAAGGGATCTACTAAACTCCTGTTGATTCCCAGAATTGAAGAGGAACCCATTAGATTGCGGAGAACATCTATATCTCCCCCATTAAACTAAAAGAAAAATTAAACCCAGATTTGTGTTTCCTTCAAATTGAAGCTTGATGATGCAGGAGCATCCTTGGTGTAGAACATCATCCTCCACACTAATGTGAGTCCACCCCAACTGACTGGAACTTGGATTATGGGATAAATGAATTGAATCTGCCTCTTCCAAAAGTTGCGACTTTTGGGCCAAGAGGTGGGTCTTCCAGCATTACATGGCAATCTCAGATTGTAACAAGAAGTCTCGACTTCGAGACTCTTCCAATGTGGATGTGTAAGATGCAGGAGCATCCTACTTTCAGAGCATCATTCTCCGCACTAATGCGGGTCCATCCCAATTGACTGGAACCTAGGCTATGAGACAAAGAAATTGATTCCACTTCTCCGACAAGTCACGACTTTTGGATCAGGTGGTGGGCTACCAGCGTCATGTGATCTCAATCTCCAACCAAACAAACACAAATCTCTTGCTACTATCATACTAAGAAAAATTGAGGAAAGGAATAATGCAGCTATTGATGTGGTGGAAGATAGGTCAATGACACCCCACTTCAATTCAATGAAAGAGACAGAGAGATAGGTAGAAGAGAGACATAGATGATCAATGTTAAATCATTAGGGTGGATCAAGGAGGATGAGTTGCAAGGACAATGAGTGAGTAATCGAAGGGGGGCATGTGGAGGAACTATCGCCCGCGATGACTTAGGTTTTTCCATGGGTTGAGTGATCCAAAAAACATTTTTTTTAACAATTTTCATTTTTCTTCCCCACCACTTTCTTTTGGGTAAATTTTGTATAAGGGTAACATTGTGATTTTGTCATTATTTTAATGTGTAGAGCTCTCTATTCTAACTACCCATGCCTCATCTAGCGACTGTGAAGTACGTACCATCGAATGAGATGGATCCTGTTACATTTGCACTTTGTTTTCAAGTCTTAGGTGGTTTAGTGCAAAAATTAAATGTATAACATGGTGGTTTGCAATTGCCTTAAGTACAAGGAGGATTATTGCAATTACCCTTCTCAAATATAAGACATATTTCACCAATTTACATCTTCTAAAATGGAAAAAAAATTAAAATCTAGTTGTAAAACAACAAATGTTACAGTTGATATCCAAACTATGGAAATTATTCTTTTCTACAATTCATTTATGCATATTATTTCACTTCCAAAGTAATCAAAATTTGAACCAAGTCAATAAAAAAAGTTTTGTGTAAAATACAAGACATGTTTACAATATTTGTTTTCAACCAAGTTTTAGAACATAGAAGTCAGACACTCCAAATAGGATTCAATTTGTGTAGTCTGAACAAAGCTTGCCAAACCTAAGAAATGCCAAAAATAATTGCAAGCTAATTGACATATTGTCTTCTAAGTATAGATTTGAGTAAAAGAGTAAAATTAATTTGTCTAAGCTTGAAAATGATCCAGCAACTAACCTCTTCCCTTTCCAAGTACTGATCTTCCGACAAGAAATCCACAGCTTCTGAACCTAGAAAACAGTTTGTGAACCTGCGCATTTTGTGAAACCGGTCCTTAACAGCAATAGATTCTCTCATTTTCCGAACAATAACAGCTAGCTCATCTATAGCCCCACTACTGGACACATCATCTTCTCCAGAAAGTGGTGGCAGAGGAGCCTCAAATGATGGCCCTTCCGTCATTACAAACTCAATCTTCTCATCAAGCTTGCCAGACCCATCCAATTCCTTCAGTTCTGTCAACCCTCCTATGAGGACTTCATTAAAGAACACTCTGGGTACAGCAGAAGACCCACCAATCTTCTCTAACTCCAGCTTCCTATTAGGGTACACATCAATGTTGATTTCAACATATCTCAGCCTCTTCTGATGTAGAAATATCCTTGCCTCTTTGCAGTCCTGGCATCCTAACCGCGTATACAATATAATTCTTCCTTTCATGGCTATGAGCAGTGCTGATTCGTTGATGAAATCCTTCCTCTGTTCAGCTTTGTTTTCTGCATTAGCATCACGCGAAATCCCGATTAAACTAAGGGGATTCCACCCAGATCTGTCTACTGTTTTATGAGAGGCTTCTTGGGCCTCACTTTCTTTGGAAGAATCCACAACCTCCTTAGTGTTGCTATTGTTGTTATCTTCTTCATCAGGAATGACCTGTCCACCATCACTTTTCCCAGAAAGGCGACGCAGAACACTAGAAACCGCCACAGCACTCTTTTCCCTTACGAAGTTTGTAAGGGCTACTGCTTTCTCAGGCCAAGCATGTCCCTGTGTCTCTGAGTCAAGATCCAAAGAACGGGTAGATGAACTCCTGTTACCCTCCATCCCAGAAACCTCCGTTCCATCAAATACAGGCTCGGCCTCCTCCTCCTCATACAGAATTTCCTCAAGATTCTTGTTTGTTACTCTAACATTTTCTGACTCCAACCCTGCACTCTCACCCATCTTATTATTAAAGTCATCTAGAGTCTTTTCACTATCTACTTCAGGACTTCCCTCCCTGATGCTCAGCGATTTTACTTCCATAAGTGGTTCCACATCATCTTGTCTCTGAACATCAAGTTTCTTTCTCTCCAGATTCTCAGCAGATGGAGTATTAACTGTATTTTTCTCAGAAGAATCTTCCTTTTCCTGATCATTTTTCTGCGAATCAGGTGTATCTCCCTCCTTTTCTGCAGTTGAAGAATTCACTATGTTCTTCTCAGAAACATTTTCCTTGTCCTGGTGTTCTTTCTGAACCTCATGTAAATGCTCCTCCTTTTCCGTAGATGAAGAATTCAGTATTGCGTTCTCAGTTAAATTGTCTTTTTCCATAATGCCAATGATTTATCAAACTCAGATGGCCCTCAACAAAATGTAGAGGTTTGTGATGATAATATAAGGAGTTAATTGCAGTATCCTGCAACAATATTTACAAAATAACTTTATTATGTCTAAATTTATTGAAAACTACATGTGAAAATTAGCATTGAATTGCCAATGTATGGAATTCCATCATAACCCCAATAAAGGTTCTGTTGTTTATAATATTAGAAGGTAGCAAAAGTTCATACAATTCTAAAAGAAGGGACAAGGGACCAAAAGTAGACTTTCCTGAATTAATTACAGACTTTCAACTCCATAAAATGTGTCAGTAATTCAAAAATACCAAAGCCCCGTATGATCCCTCAGAATCAAGAGATGTATTTTTTCTATCAAATCCTTGTACAATGTTATTATTGTAAACAAAAAATGGCAATCAGAATTGAAACAGCATAAAATAACTCATTTGTAATCCATGCCTTACTTCAAAGTCTAATTTAATCATCAATTTTCTAAACAGGAAGCCTGGCAGCATTTATCCTCTTTTATTTAAAACACCACCCATAAGTGCCTATGGTGATTGAATTGGTTCTTTCTAGTAAAATACTGTTATAGCTCTTGCTACTTATTATGATTCCAGTGAAGGAATTATAGCATGTAAACTATTGCCTCTAAATGGGAGATGGTTCCAGCAAATGCACAATAAGTGCCTGAACTTTAATCGATGAAAAAGTCCACGGATCTTAAAAAACACAAAATGACCTCACTGAATTGAGGTGTTAACAGGGATATGTATCAACAATGTTGCCCAGTTCATTAGCCACAAAGCCTACACCCCATATCCTCAAATCAAGCAACCAAAACAGATTGATGAAAACCATAAACCCAATTCAAAAACACTACATCAACACATAATTGCACGACCATAGTTAAAAATAACTATATTGGAATGAAGAAAGTCGACGATAAACACCGATTACAGGAACACAAAATGCTATTCAAACATTTTGACGACAAATATTTGACTCAATTCAATCTCAACCCAGGCACAAAATTCCACAATTAGATATATAGAAATTAATCACACATTAAAAGGGGGTTTCTGCAATTCACTTAGCGAGTAGAAACATCGCAAAACAGCAGAGATATATATATCGATGGTATTGGGGACGAAATAGATAGTGAAACTTACAGATCTGAGTAAAATTGTTTAGACGGAAGAAGCTGATAAAGGCAATGAGAGAGAGAGAGAGAGAGAGAGAGAGAGAAGAGAGAGAATGGTAATGAATTGAATTTGGAGTGATTCAGAACTATGAATTGAAACCGTCGTAAGTTTTGGGCTCGTTCTTGTCAAAGAAGAGGGGGAAATTGAGACCAACGCGAGAAGCGGGAATTGTCAAGTGTCGTTGCCTTTCAACGAAACTCTCCCCAACTTTTATATTTACGGGAACAACCCCAAGTTTGGTCATGGAATTGGTAGTTTGTTCTTCTTTCGTTTTGTTCCCAGTGTCATTGCCTTACAACAAAACCCTCCGACATTTTTGTATTTAAAGACCAAACCCCCCATTTTTGGATAAGACAGTGGGCCGGTTTGAAACTAACGTAAATAGGTAGTTTTTAAGGATGTGTTTGTTTGGAAGGAAAAAGGGGGATATCACAAATAGGATTGGATAATAAAAATCAGGGGCTCACATATCTCAGCATTGGGTTCTCTAAAAAGGATAGGATTTTTGTTAGGCTTGAATTAATTGGCCCGTAGGAATTTGGCCTGTTCTCCCGCCTGATTAGGATTCCTGAAAGTTGAAGTTTGGGATTAGTAAGCCCACCTACTGGATAAGGAATAAAATTATTAAAATGCCCATTAACAATAATTAAGGTAGGGTTTTTACCCTCTTTCCCTTCCCTTTCACCTGGTCCCCCGCTTTGACAACAGCGCACAGTCTTCAGCAGAATGTAACAAAATCTGTCTCTCTCTCTCTTTTACTCTCTCTCTCCTTCCTGTGTCCCTCTTCTCTCTATCTCTTGCCTGGTTATGATTTGTTGGTCCCTTTGTCTCTTTGTCTCTCTCTTCTTCTCTTCCTTCATGGCTGACGCCTGAAACGTTGTTGGGTCCAAGGATTTTTTTTTCGTTTGTACAATGCTATGTATTTTTTTGTAATCTACTAGTTGAGAGATGAAATCCTCTACACTTTCTTGTTTTGGTTTTCTCCCATACTCGACGGAGGACCTTTCCATGGCTAACACCTAAAAATTTTCGGCATGATATATTTATTTTTTTCAACCAGTTATATGTTGAAATGAAAATGTAAAACAAGTATGATACATTTTAATTTTTCAACCAGTTACATTCCAATCGTAGCATATATACTGAAATGAAAAAGAATCAATTCAATCTTTTGACTAGTGCTTGTCCAGTCACATTTCCATAGCCAATAGATTACATACATCAAACTGTGCGATCAACATAACTTCTTTTTTGCTTACTGGGTAGTGTAAATCTTTTGTATACGTAATTGTTTTTGCTTATGTATTGTTTTTCTCTGTTTTTGTCTATTTTGGAATTCAGTTTAAATACTTTAGATATCTTTAAATAAAGTTACTATTAAAAAGAATAGAAGAATTGTGAAAGAGGAAGAGAGTGGTATTTGTTGATAAGGGATAATGACTTGGACTTTGGTTGGAGTTTTTTTTCTGCGAAGACAGAGCTGGTCTGTTTGAAATATTGGGAGAGGGTGTGGATGATTGTGATGAAGCTGCTGGGCTAAATGATGTTTGAATGTTTTTTGGTCTTGTTGATAGGTTTGTTGAGTTTTTATAGGGCTTTTGTGCCTTGGAGTTATTGGTTTTTGGTAAGGCAGTTGTGCCCTTTATTGCTTCTTGTAATTATTTTTTTTGTTAATAAATAAAACACTCCTTAAAAAAATAAAAATAAAGATAAAAAGAATAGAAGAATTAAATAGTAAAGTGACCATTTTGTTAAACAACCATCAACTCCAAAAACTTAAAAGTATTTGGTTGGGTGTGATTCAATTCAAGTATTTACATTTCAGCAGTTATTCATCAAAAGCTTAAGCTATTATTGGGGGTGTAAGTTAAGTATTTATATTTCTAGCACATTAAATTTCCAAAAAATCAACATAATGCTACATAAATTTTCAGTTTGTTTGATCAAAATAATTATCTAAAATCACAATGTTGTTAGGATTTCGAAATTTCGGTTTAATGGGTATAATTTTCTTTCGTAGAGGGAGAGTTTTTATGTTTTGGTTTGAGACAATGGTTATTTGGATAACTCTTTTTACTATGGTCATTTTGGAATGGATGACCCTGACTTCACATGGGAGGTGGTTAAGCCCCAAAAATGGGAGAAGCCCCAAGATTAAGTTTTTACTGTTTAATTGTTGCAGGTGATCAATAATGTGTTTGTTCTTTGCTACTGCTGTCTTGCCCATGAATCCACTCGAAGTTTGCTTGTCATTGTGTTCTATCTTTTTTCTTCCTTCTTTTATTTTTTTGCATGTCATGGTCAAACAGGATATGTGAAGATTGGATGTGAAGATTGGGAGATATATGGAGAGTCCGGTGGCAGTTGATGAAAACATTTTAGAAAAAATTCTTCCACTTGGTAGACTAAAAAAAGTGCTCAATTTTTATGATAAAGGATCACACTACTTGACTATATGCATATGTTGTATATAATTTTTCTTATTAACACATGTTTTGTTCTTTTTTACATGTGTTTGAATGAAGTTCGTATATAGTTTTTCCCATAATGACTTCTTGTATTTTTCCTGGTGCTTGGAATTAATTTTATCGTCTTTTAATTTTTAAAAATAAATAACGGTTAATTTCTACTATAGTTCATTTGAATTTGGGTTGTATCGTAGTTTTTCATATATTCTGGCATTCTTTGTCCTAAAATTTTTAAAATCTTTGATGTAAGAAATAAATTTGTGAGCAACTTATAAAGTTGTATTATAAAATCAATGTGTAATAACATGTATTTGGTGAATACATAAATATTCTTATATTTTTCACATTATTAAATTGGTAACCAATAATGATTAAAGAGTAAAAAAATAATTATTTCAAAAGTGTTGTCAAGCCAAAAATGAGGTAGGATTGGATAAGATTCAAGGGTAAAATAGTCAATTAATGTCAAAAATATTAGATATTTAATAAAAATTTGTAGTTTATCCATATCTCAACCCCTTTCATAATGCACTATCCAAAGCAGAGATTGAATAACACAATTTTCTTTTATCCCCCAACATATCCAGCCTATTGGGATTTCACTGAATTGATTTGGGATTTAAATCCAATTCATCTATAAATTGTCAAACATACCCTAAGGGTTTTTAGAATAAATAAGTCAGTTCAATTTAAACTTTGACTTTTTTATTAGCTAATGCAATACTTTTCTAGACAAAAAAAAATAAAAAATATTTAAGTTAATTCAAAAAACTGATTTTATAGCTTTTCTTTTAATTTTTTGAAATTTTATCTTGGATCCTACATAATTTTTTAATTTATTATATTTATAAAATATTATTAGTAACGTATAAAAATTTAAAATTCATATTTTAACAACTATTATGCATAATCTATTATACATAATCTATATTTTTTTAATTTCAAACAGTAACTTTTTATCTAAAAAAGTCAACTCCAAACAAGTCTTTTGCGATTTGGATTTGGAGCAAACTTAGACCGAATTTATCCACTTAATTACACTCTGTCATCAGATTGAAAGTCGAATCCGTTATCAATTCAATAATTATAGTGTATTAAGTCAGTAAATAGGGTTAGCAAAATTAGACCCGTATAATATCTTTTATTGAGTTTTTTTTTCTTTTCTTTTTGTTTAATAGCAAAGTATACTTTGAGTCAACTTGCCACATGGATGTTTGTGGACAGCTCATTAGTCCATTAAATTAGAAATACACATTTTTTTATGGGTCTTTTAAAAGTCGGTAGACCAAGTTATACATAATTGTAAAAAAATACATATAACAAAATATTTTGAAAAAAATATTTAAATTTTTTTTTCCTAAAAACTTTAACAAGGCATTTATTAAGCGTTGAAATTTAAAATCATTTAATTCAAAATCTCTTATCTTTAATACACCTTGATTTATGAGTATTTTTTTTAAGTGGTTTTATTTTCAAATTATATTTATGCATTAAATATTTATTACTAATAGTTTTATAGGAGAATTTTAATATTCCGTTTATTTTAGAATATATAACTTGTTTAAATTCTAAAATTTGTTAATATCCAAACTCCATAATAATGCAACAAGTATACGGTAACAAAAAACAGTGTAACTATACATTGTATTCAGTAGTTTTGTGCATGAAACAGAGATAAAATGTTTTGAATGAAATTATATAAAAATATATGTTTGACAAAATGTAATAGTACAATATTTTATATAAATGACTTGTTACACTATTATTGTTATATTGTTCGAATATTAATATAATTTAAAAATAAAATTATTTTTCAAAAAAAAAAAAAATACGCATGAATTAAGGTACATTAAATATAATTTAAAAACAAAACTATTTTTCAAAAAAAAATACACATGAATCATGGAGAACATACAAATATGGAATATTAAAGTTCTCCCATAAAAGTAGGAGATGTTTAATGCACCACTTTCCAAAGAAAATACGCATGGATCAATGGAGGACAAAAATGTCACAAAAAAAAATCAATAAAATTCAAATAATGTACTTAAATATAAATAAATATTAAAATTAAGAACTTAATTACTCAACATTTTTTTCTGTGCACTTTTTTACAATTAAGTCTAATTTGGTATACCCCTCCCAATTTCCCCTTTTTTTATTCTAAATAGATTACTTATTTTGAATTTAAGTTTGATCCATTTTCTATAAAACAAATCCCTATTAACATAAGGCAAAAGATCTATTTTATAAATGATTTGTCGATAAAGAAATTAAAGATAAAATATATTACAAGAGATCTGAATCCAAACTTGCGACTATCGATCCTTGGGTGGGCCATAGAACAGACCCGTTTGATCAATCACTTTCGAACGACCCGACCCAGCGAAAATAGAGGGAGAGAGCAATCGTTATTTAAAAACAAAAAGGTAATTGAACCCGACGTGAATCGAACACGCAACCTTCTGATCTGGAGTCAGACGCGCTACCATTGCGCCACGGATCCACTTGTCTGTCTAACTATTCTCAAAATAGTATATAATAATTACTAAATGCAAGGTATTCTTCCACCTCCGCTGCTAACGGTGATCGCACACCATCATTGACACGTGATTGGTATGCGATACTACTTTTAACATAGTTTATTAACCTAATTTGTTAACTTAATCATTCATAACTATTGGATTAACAGCGGCCCTTACTATTTGTTGGGATCCATAATCAATCTAATGGTTGTGATGAATTAGATCAGTAATTTAAGTCCAAATAATATAAATGACTATTTTAACGTGACAGTTATTAGACAAGGTAGTTATTAATAGTTATTAAAATAATAAAAATGTCCAAGTCCATCTGATATTCTATAACTGATTAGTGATACCACGAGCGTTGATAACGTAATGTTATAGTTATATTGAATATTTGTCGCAACACTCGTCATCTGGTACCCTAAAGATTCAAAAAAAATTGGTACCATAATAAAAGTGATTAATTAGATATTGTGGATGTTTGTTAGGTCCATTTTTTTGCCATTGATTGTAAAAATCAAATAAGAAAACTTTTAACATGTCAAGTTTTTATTGGAGGAAAAACGGAGGTATGGACCGTATGATACCTCCGACCCAGAAAAAAATACTCAATAGAAAAAAAAAATTAATACACACTACGTGACCGTTTCAGATAATGTATGCCACCAATAAAATTTTAATGTGTATTACTCTGTTAGAATTTCTTTTGAAAAGATCACTTGTGTATAACTTTTTTCAGTCAATAGGGTTCCACCGAGGCAATAAGGTTTTAGGTGGGCATGAACAGTCTTTGGAGTGAATGAACTTAGTTAACTTCTTGTATGCCTTCATGGGTGGTGAAGTCTCTGTTTTTTTTCATTTAATAATGGTATATTTTAGAGATTTTGACTATTTTTATCACTATTGTTCAATTTTATTGTCTCAAAATCGTTTTTTTTTTTTTTTTTTTTTAAATTTGACTAGTTAGTGCTGTTTAAATGAATGGATGACATAAACCCATGATTGTCAATGTAAAAGCATGTTTATAATACCCAACCAAAAAAACGATCAACAAGTCTAGGTCCAATTAGTTTATTTTTATCAAAAACAATCCAAAAAAAAAACACTAAGAGAACACATTCAAGATAGCGTATTGACGCTAATAAAAAATAAAAAAAAATCATTCAACCGAGGACAAATAGTAAGAATAAAAACTTCATAGAGTCAAGTTGCATTTACAGATATTTGGAACCTCAAACCCAAAATTTTCCAATACAGCGACACATTAGAACTATTGATAGGTTAAGTGACACAAATAATTATGGAAAAAATTGAGAATAAATAGCTAGGAAACATTATTTTATCTAGTGAATACAAGCACAACCGGGTGTTCATTGGTATCAAGCACTCCATTTTCGTCTAATAAACAGTAACTACTTTCTACTCTTGGGGGATCCAAATTGCTCAAAGTATACAGAACTACTTCTTTACTTGAATTCTGCAATTTCGAAGACCCGGGCAGTTCCATCAATGGAGGCCGAAACTAGGAATTCGCCATTAGCAGATACAGCTAAAGACTGGAGGACATCCGAGTGCCCACTAAAAGTTCTCACACAATCTCCAGAGAGGGTGTCCCATATTTTTACTTTGCCATCAGCACACCCAGTGGCCAGGTACCTAGATGCACCTAGCCATGACAAGCATGTCACCCCTTCCTGAATGCCATGTGATATAAAGGAACGTGAAAAATCAGAGAGTTCACTTAACTAAACATGAAATTGACTGAACGAAAATTAAATGGCGGACACGTCTGGGAAAACAAAACTCATTGCACAGAAAACTTAACATTTAACAAACCTCATGATCACATGTGGAACGTGAGGATGAATGCTGCAAATCCCATATAATAAGCTTTTGATCCATGCCTCCTGTTGCAGCCCATGGGACACTAGTATACAGTTTTGAAATCGAACAATGTCAGGCAGCATTAAACCAGATTTCTTTTGACAAAAATCATTAAGCAAGATTCTATAATTGTCATTTCTTTGGCCTGAAGCAATAGCACCAATCTTATTTTTCTCAGTCCAAATTCAAAAGTAACAGGAACCTACCCATTTCTGGTCTAAAATAGAGACACATTTGATGCTCAAAGATAAACAAAAATCTTGAGAGTTAACTAAAGTAAATGTTATGACCCAAGAGTTTCACTGGATGATTTATAACCAGGGGCAGAGCTAGAAGTTTGGCGTTGTGGGGGTAAAAAGTTTAACAACTATAATACGCATGAACTTTATTCAGTGACTTAATCGAGACTTGTTGCATTAGTACCATTGGTTTAGCAAAATAGATTGCATTCAATGTTAAGACCTAATGCTAATTCAATGATGACAATATATAGAATTCTTAAATTAGGTCCCAAATATTTCACTTTTAACAATAGTTAGCTTAAAATTTTTGAACTAATGATGAATAAAAATAGGTGATCCAATGAGTGGATCCCCTCTACTACAAAATCTAGGAATGATCAAATATGTGCAGTCTTACCCAGAATGTGAAAAGATGTTTCAACGACTTGTATTATTGGCACCTCGGTCATAACAGAACAACCTTACATTTTCAACTATCACCAACTTAATTTTCATATTACAAAAAATTAAATTAGCAGGGAGAGAGAACGAAGGATTTTAGGATGATTTCTTCAACACATTTTGAGGGATTCAATGAACTAAATATTATTTTCGCTCACTTAATTGAGAGTACAACTTTAATATATATATAACATGATTTAGTAAATTAAAATGATTGAGATTTTTTTTTGTGGGGGCTTTGGCAAAACAAAATTGAGTGGGGCCTAAGACCTGTGTAGCTTCACCACTGTTTATAACACAGATGCACACTAAGCTCCCATGAATACGTTCATTGGGCAGCATTCCCTTGTTGCAAGACATAAGTTTATGTCTGAATTTCAATATTACCTAAGTTTGTATATAGTTGTTTATCTTTTCATAATTTTTGTCCATAATAAAGCTTTTCAGAAAACAAAATTTAGAGAGTAGGGACTAGGAAGAGTTTTGAGGAATATATCATACCTTGCCCCGAGACCAACACATTCAATTGAATCTGTGTGACCACTTAGAGAACTAACAACCTATGGAGAACAAGCAACTTTATTAATAAACTGCCAAAGAAAATAAAATGAAGTCGTCTATAACATGCCCACCTGTTAGTTTACTGTTGACCTTTAAAAAATGTGGTAATGATAACACAAAAATGATCACTGCAACCAGAATTCTAACCTTCCCAGTTGTTATATTCACAATGTGAAAGGAACCATCCTTTGAACCAGTAAAAGCAAGAGCTGAATCAGAGCTTATCGTCAAACATGTCAGCCCTTCAGTGTGATATGGATGACCTTATGAAATAAGATATCATATGTCAAAAACATTGCAAAAGCGTACATTTTGGAAATAAGAATTTGCTCATACGCAACTTTCATTCTCTAAAAATTTCAGCTTCTTTTTCTTTCTACTACTTCAAACACATAGATGGACACCAAATTTGGCCATGAACTTAGGTGGAGTTCAATTTGCATTCTGCTTTCTAGACATTATATTTAAGACTTATGATATTACAAGCTCAAATTTGTAATCGAACAGAAATACTTAAAATATTTCTTTATTAAGAATACTTTTAGTTTAAGAAAACATGTATTGAGCACATCAGGCAGTGAGTTATGCCAGCATAATTTTACCTTAGAAACTGAAATTTTCAAGTACATTAGCATTCAAAGCAAAATACAAGAAACTGCCAAGAGAAATCCAGATACATACCTCTGACAACGTGGATGTTTTCACCACTTCTTGGATTCCATATCCTTAAAGTCGCATCATCAGAACCAGTACAAATAGTTTTACCTTCCAGCCAAAAAAAAAGTGAGTCAAAGGAATCACTCAAAAGCTTTAGGCCCAGAAGCAGGGCCTGGGGGTGGGGGAGGGATGGGGAGCATTAAGAACCAATATTTCTTGACAAAAAGAGGGTGGTACCATCAGGAGTAAAATCACCGCAGGTAACACAACTGGCATGTCCTGAAAACATATTAAGATAGGCAGCCCTGTCAGCATTCCACATCCAAACAGTGCAATCCTCAGAACCCGCCAAAACCAGATGTCCTTTGGGATGCCACCTGACCCACTGAGCAGTCTCATGGTTCATACTTGGGCTATGTAAATTGACCAAAAGACTATACAACCACTAAGAACATCATAAAATTTCACCTCAATGCCTCCTCCGGGACCTTCAAGTGTGCACTTCAGATTACCCGCAGATATATCCCACACTCGGGTAAGCCCATCAAAGCTACCAGATGCAAGCAACTGTCCATCAGTACTGAAAGCCAAACTAGACACAGTATCCTTGTGACCTGCACACAGAGTTTGGAGAACTTCAACTAAAGCACAAGCAATCGAGAATGTAAGATCCAATTTGAATTTGTTATTTTGAAAAGAAGCAGATAATGGTTTTGGTGGAAGTAGGAAACAAGTCAGAGTGACATATCGTTAACCATGTGAAATACAAATCATGTATCAGTGGATCAATAAGTACCTTCTAACTCAAAATCCCAATCTCCTTGGCCAATCTTCCAAAGGAATCCTCTATCATCTCCACCCCCTGTTGCCACCAATGCGGCATCAGTTGGGCTGCATGCAACTGTGTAAAGTTCACCTACGTCAAGCAAAAGGAAAAAGATTACTCTCTGAAACTTCTAACTTGCTTGAGGCATAGCAATAATTGGATATCTGCTACAATTTATAACTGTATTGTGATGCAATTGGACACCAACAAACACGTGCAAGTGACATGAACAAGCAATATTGTACAGGCATGGATCCCAACCAGGCCTTGGTGTACCATTAAGGTGTCATAAAATATCAGCAGCAAAGGTTGACATTGCTAACAAGGATGAATCCACCCAAACTTGATGTAAAACCATAAGTTCAGCACTTTTTAGATCTACTAATCTATGAGCAAACGAAAGGAAGGAAACAAGTACACTTTCATTTTCTATACTTTTTTTCTTGTCACAGCATTCTCTTTCTTACATTGTCTTCCGCATCAACTTGTTGAAAAGAGGATTAGTTAGTGATTTAGCCAAGTATTTTCCCAATGCCTTTTGAAATCCAACTCTCTTGTCTGGTTTCCCTGTTTGAGAACTGGATTGCAGCCCAGCTTCTCTCCATTTCTCTCTTGCCATCCACTTTTTCCATAAATCACAACTCACATTATCTTTCTTATTGAAACAGGATTTCAAGTTAAAATCATCTAACCCCACACATCTCTATCTTCTCTGTTAAGTTTGGAAGATTAACATAATATTAGAGACAATATTTAGGAAAAAATAGAGAGAGGTTAAAAACTTAACCTAACTCTCATATATCACTTATATTTATAATTAACTCACAATAATAAGAATTACACATACACCCTCTTACTATTAATAATTTACACATACTACCCTATTATTCTTAACACTCTCCCTAAAACTGGACTATATATATCATATAATCCAAACTTCGAACAAATCGCTGTAAGACGTGTACGACTCAATACTTTGGTAAACATATCTGCAAGCTGATCTTCAGATTTTACAAATGGAGTTGTAATCTCCCTATCTACTATCTTGTCCCGAATAAAGTGACAATCAACCTCAATATGCTTGATTCTCTCATAAAACACCAGCGATATGGATAACTGTCTGGTTGTCACAGAACAACTGTAAAAGAAGTTGAACTAGAAACCCAATTTTCTGGAGGAAGTGTAGTAGTCAAATCAACTCACTCGTCGTATGTGTCATTGCCCTATACTCAGCCTCAGCACTGGATCTTGCTACCACGGATTGTTTCTTACTCTTTCATGAGACAACATTACCTCCTAAGAAAGTACAATAACCAGTGGTTGATTTTCGATCAGAAGGAGAGTCAGCCCAATCAGCATCTGAGAAACCTTCCACTCTAAGATGTCCATTAGCTCGATATAACAATTTAAGTCCGGGAGCTCGTTTGAGATATTACAGAATACGAGTAACTGTCTCCCAATGTGGTACTCTAGGACACCCCATGAACTGACTTTATAGAAAATATTCGATCGAATAATTGTGAGATAATTGAGCTTCCCAACTAATCTGCAATACAGACCCGAATTCTCTAACAGTACACCATCATCAATCAAAACTTTCTGATTCGGATCCATAGGAACATCAATAGGTCTGCCACCCAACAAACCTGCTTCCTCTAGCATGTCAAGTACATATTTCCTCTGAGATAAACAAATACCCTCTTTAGATCGAGTCACCTCAATACCAAAGAAATACCTGAGTTTTCTCAAATTCTTAGTATGAAATCGATCCTGCAAAAATATTTTTAACTAGGCAATCCCCTCAGAATCATTTTCAATAATCACAATATCATCTACATAGACCACCAATAGAACATATCCAACATCTATCTGTCTATGAAATACAGAATGATCTGTCTGACATCGAAGAAGACCAAACTCTAAAACTGCATCTGAAAACTTACTAAACCATGCCCTCGGTGACTGCTTCAAACTATACAAATATTTCTTTAACCGACATACACTCTTACCATACTCCCCCTAAGCAGTAAACCCAGATGACTGCTCCATGTATACCTCTTTAACAAAGTCACCATCTAGGAAGGCATTCTTGACTTCTAACTGAAACAAAGGTCAATCAAGATTAGCAGCCAAAGAAATCAAGATACGAACCAAGGAAATTTTGACAACAGGAGAGAAAATCTCTTCATAATCAACACCATAAGTCTGAGTAAAACCCTTTGCAACAAGCCGGACTTTGAGACGCTCCACAGAATTATCCGGATGAAATTTAACAGCATACACCCAACGACAACCAACAGTTCATTTACCAGGAGGTAAGGGAACGAGATCCCAAGTCCCGTTATGATGTAAGGCATCCATCTCCTCCTCCTCCATACCTTTCCTCCAACCCGGATCAGATAATGCATATTGTAAATGCTTAGGAATAGATATAATAGATAATTTGGAAGTAAAACAAGAGAAGACAGGAGACAACGCATCATATGAAACAAAATAAGTAATGGGATGATTAATAACACACGAACAAGTACCTTGTCGAAGAGAAATAGGTAAAGAGTCTAAATTACCTGATGTACCAGAATCAGAAGGCAGCAAGGAAGACGGTACGGGCACCTTAGTCGACGGGCGAAGACGGCCAGAGTAGACATGGAGAGGTAAAGTAGATGGTAACACAGTGGGCAGCGGAATATCTAAAGATGAGGAAAGAGATGGTGGTACAGGAGATGACCCAAAGTCTAGATCCAAAGGTTGAGAAGGTGCTGAAAAATATGGAACAAATTTCTCAAACATGACATCGGCACTAGTAAAGTATCGGCGCAGAGAAGGATTGTAGCAACGATACCCTTTGTGCGTGCGGGAGTAACCAAAAAATACACATTTGATAGCTCGAGGGTCAAGTTTGTCAAACCCAAGACCCAAATTGTGAACATAATAGACACATCCAAAAACCTTAGGAGTCAGGAAAAATAAGAGCTTACTAGGAAAAAGAACTAAATATGGATTTTGCCCATTTAACACAGAGGATGGCATACAATTAATAAGGTGACAAGCGGTAAGAATAGTATCACTCCAAAAATATCGGAGAATATTCATCTGGAATAACAAAGCACGAGTGACTTCCAACAAATGACGGTTCTACATTCAGCAACACCATTCTGTGGAAAGGTATAAGCACAAGAAGTCTGATGAATAATGGCAGTTTTACTAAGATAAACTAAAAAATGATCAGATTCATATTCCCGAACATTATCAGAACGTAAAATACGTACGATAACCATACTGAGTTTTTATTTCCTTACGAAAGGTCTCAAATATAGAGAATAATTCAGACCGAGCTTTCATAAAAAAAACCAAGTCACACGAGAATAATCATACACAAATATTACAAAATAAGGATATTTATTAGATGAAATATTTTTTATAGGACCCCATACATCAAAATGTACTAACTCAAATGGAGTAGACACACGATTATTGACTCTAGATTGAAAAAACACACGGTGATTCTTACTAAATTGACAAGCTTCACAAGACAAAGACGACACATAGCTAAGGCTAGGAACTTGGCGCTTCAAATTCTGGAAAGAGGGATGTCCAAAACAACAATGCTACTGAAAATGAGACAACGAGGTCTGTAGAGCCTGAGTAGGTGAATCAAAGTCAAGGTAATATAGGCCATCAGCTTCATGCCTCGTACCAATCTTCTTTTTCGTCTTGAGATCCTGAAATATACAATAAGAGGGATAAAATGTTACGGAACAATTCAGAGAGAACGAGTAATCTTACTAATGGAAAGTATACTAAAAGGAAACTAAGAAACAAATAATACAAAAAATAGGGATATATCAGGAATCAAGTGAGTAGTCCCCAGACTTGAAATTTTAAAAAAAATACAATTAACAAGAGTAACACTACGTGTGGAAGTAGCAGACTGATAAGTAGAAAAAACATCAGACGCACTAGTCATATGGTCAGAAGCGTCAGAGTCTCTGATCCAGGGACTACGAGTGGATGACAATAAACAAGTAGAAGCAATACCTGATTGGGCAAAAGTAGCAGTGGAGGGAGATAGGATAGCCTGTTGCTGGGATAAGAACTGAGCATACTCCTCTCGTGTAATAGTAACCAATCCAGTGTCTTGCTTGGGTTCCATAAGTGTAGCAAATAAAAAAAGAAAATCACTAGATCACTGAACCAGACAAAAATTACCTACTAAACTTCTGAACCAGAAGAAAAATGGATACCAGAGGGCTGAACTGGACAGCCTGAGGGCGTTGGCCTGATGAACCGGACAATCTAAGGCCGTTGGACCACTGACCCAGGACTAACTTGGACTGTGGACCACTAAACCGGGACTGAAAAAGGAGCTGGACTGTTGAACCGGACAGCTTGAGCCCTCTGGACCCCTAAACCGGACCGATTTGACTTCCTGAACCACTGAACCGGAGTAAAAACTGTCAAAACCGATCTGAACCACATAAACTAGGCTGAACCAGGACTAAATCGGAATAGATCCGGTCTAGGATGAACTGGGACCAAACCAGTCTTGATCTGGTCTAGGCTGGTGGGCTAGACCCAAAGAGGGTTGGAGCAAGACTAGGTTAACCCAAAGTGATTTGGACCCTGTCTTCTTCGCTAATTAGGGCGCCAGATGCCTCTCTTCGACTGCGCCTCACCACTACAACAAGCGACAACCGATGGCGACTGCCCTTCGACTGCACCTCACCACCACAACAAGCAACGACAGACAACGGCAAAATCACTGCAATAGTACCTATTGCACCGAGCGACAAACGCGAACACACCAATCCACAACAGTACCACCACCACCACAAGCAATCGACAAACACCACCACACAAGTACCAACGAACAAAAAATTAATTTATTCAGAATATATATTTATGATTGTAATGCTCTGATACCATGTTAAGTTTGAAAGATTAACATAATATTAGAGACAATATTTAGAGAGAAACAGAGAGAGGTTAAAAACTTAACCTAACTCTCATATATCACTTGTATTTATAGTTAACTAACAATAATAAGAATTACACATACACCTTCTTACTAATAATTTACACATATTACCCTACTATTCTTAACATTCTCAAAGCAAGTTAGTGAAATGATGACTTAAAAAATCCAGTGAAGAAATGTACTTGTAAATGAGATGAATTGTTTCCTTAAGAGTTATGGTTCCCTAAGTTGGAGAAACCAATCGGATTGGCTACTAACATGCTATCAATGCCTACTCTTTTTGATCGTAAGCGAGGCATTAAAGATACAAAAAATATCAGATTCTGTTTAAAGGTCCTTGTTCGCAACTCCCAAGTTTCTTACTCCTAGCAGACATAGGAAAACTATGGTATCCGGTATACATGTAGATACTTGTTCAACTCATTATAGTCTAGCTAAAATATTGGAACTTTGTTTCTAGGTTAAGCATAAAAAGCTCTTCTTCTTCACAACACTAAAAGGGTACTTAATTTCATGCACAAACTCTATCCAACCAAATTCTAATCAAGCTCAAACTATTCTCCTACCTGCCTTTGGCATCTAATTTAGCACCAAAAAAACCCTCAGAGTCCTGCTGTCAAAAACTCTGATCCATCACACAATAAAAGGACCACTTCTAACTTTTAACTGCTTTTTCATTGACATGCCAGGCAATCTTAATTTTGTCCTCCTAAAACTCCAAGACAAGTTACTTTCTACAGCCAAATTTCATTGCATTGCCTGCAGCAATACATGGAAAATACAAGCAACAGGAGAAAGAAACGGACCATTATCCCACCACGCAGTTGATCATAAATAAATGAAACCAAAAATTACTGTAGAAATTTCAAACAAGCATAACTGTATCCCTCCTAGTCCTCAAAACTTAAAAGTGAGGCAAGAAAATTGGTGGCTTCCATTCCGTAAATTTTACACAGGATAGTGGGACCACATTGGACCAACTTAAAAATTGTTTCCCATCAAAAATAAATCAATTCTACCCATCAAGATGCAAGAATGTAATTACAGCCAATTAGAATACAACCTCCTATTATTCTAGTTCTACCTTGTCTATGCCAAGACCTCATAGAAGAAATATTGAAAGGCAAGTCCTCCCTAAAACCAATTGGATTGGGATGACACAATTCTAGTTCTCTTGCCTCTCTTACCATGAAAACGTCATTCTCGAAAATGACGATGACTTATTTCTTTTGATACAATTGTTTAAAAAAATGACAAGTAAGATAAGAAGTTCTAAAATACCAACCAACATATTTTTATTCCTGTCACAGTGTTCTGCTACTATGATTTTCTGACAGTTCAATTGAATAAACAAAATAGAAAGGCTGATCCTAGGCATTCAATTTACCTTCCTCCAAACAACTTCTAAGAATATAATTCTTCAATATGTTGCTGCAGAATCTATTTTCGAAAGCATCAATTCGCATTTGAACTGTGCAAGTTTCGTATATATTGAATTATTAAATCAACTCCACAGAATATTCCCCCAATATATGAAGCACACACCCGATAGGAATAGGCAAGACAGCCTGGAACCACTTAAATAAGCTGGAGGTTTGAGTTTGAGGCCACTTTTGGCCATCCAGAGAGACTTGGGCATGGACTCACCTCCAATGGAACGCATCATTTACCATGAAACTATTTGGACTTGCTAAGAGGTGTGAACTCCTCATCCGAAAATTAAGATGAAAAGAAAAAAGGAAAAAATCTTTGGCTAAAATATAAAAAGAACTACATCAAAGAGTCTTACCAGTATGACCAGTAAATATGTGCATGGAATCATCAGCTTCCTCTGAAACCACACAAAAAATATTACATTATTTAAATGAAAATCAACCTGCTTAATTTAATCTAAACTCGACATACCCAAATCACATACTAAACGCTCCATCAGGAAATTATAATCATATAATCTAGCAAGCGAGTAGAAAAATGAAGAAATTCAACGTACCTATGGCTTCAGAATCGGATTCTCCATCGTCGTCCACATCAGGAAGATCTGAAATCACAAATTGAAAGTAGATAAAATCAATTATACAGAGAGAAGGGAGGAGAGAAAAAAAGGGGGGGAGAGAGAAGGACCTTCTTCATCGACGGTGATTTCCTTGACGATGTCGTCTTCGTCGAGGAAGACCTCGCCGTGATCGTCTTCTTCGTTACCCGGTGCGTTCATCGTCTTCATTTTGTCGATGGAGCTTTTGGAATTGGAAGCTGTGATTGCTGTGGGATTTTTGGAGGGTTTGTATTGAGAGTTGAGTGGCTGGCGCGTTAACACAGTTGATAACATTTGAGTTGACTCACCGAGATTTGTTTTTGGGTAAATTGAACCAATGATTCAAAAAAATTTCGTTAATCATATTTTGGTCCTCAAAGTTTTAATTCTATCAATTTGATCCTTGTTTACATGCTAAAAAAACTATTAAAAAAATGTCATGTGCTTGGCACATGAGGGTGTTGAGGGATTTTTTGGTCATTGTACTACCAAAACACCGGGCACAATGGAAAAGCTAAAAAGAAAAAAAAAATTCTAACACCAGTTATATTACACTAAACACACCGAAAACAGAAAACATGTTTGAAAGTCATTTATGTTTACCAAATTATGAAAACAAAAGTAAAAAACATGTTTGATAAGGTTGCGTTTAGTAACATTTTTAATTTTTAAAAATAATAAAAACTAAAATGGTCTTTAGTTTTCAATTTATAAAAAATGAAAACCGAAAACCTGTTTTGAGTCAAAATAAGATGAGGGTCGCACCACTATGTTCTTTCTAAAAGCATCCTCGGACTCAGAACCCTTTCTATCCTTAACTTCCTGATGATCGTAACTACTATGAAACTAACCCATCTTCTTTTTATTGACCATTACTTTCAACACACCATTTTTCCCCTGCAAACTTGATAGGCTTATCGGACGCTTCCCGAAACTTCTATCTCCTCAAAGATGAAATGATCCTCTTTCCATCGAATTCATCATATTCATTGAATTCAAACAAATCTAACCTACTTCCATTTCTCTCTTCACTTCCAAATTCGTCATTCCTAACAAATTTTCGATTGTCTACAACATTCTTTCTAAAATCAACTGAGCCATTACGACACTTGCCTGTTACTTTCCTCCGAATTAGCTCTAGTAACTCATCACTCGACCCCAAATCGCTAAGAATTAATCTAGACCTCTTCTTATCTTTACATGAACCCGATGGACCAACCCCACCCATCCCATCCCCTTTCTTTTTGATAATCAAACAACCAGACGAGCTCTTTTTCTTCAACACACCCCCTGATCTCACGCCCTCTTCCATTCCTCGAAATATCAAAAAAAATCCCTAGATATTAATCAAATACACATTCAATTCCCCTCAAATTCACCATCAACATTAACAGAAAACCCCCCAAAAACCCAAATTATGCATCTTTAATCAAATATACGAGATCTGGAACAAAGCTGACAAAGACCCCATATTTTTATAAAAGCCCAAGAAAATCTAACGCATATAATTGTCCTTACAGTGAAAAGCAGAGGGAAATCATATGATCCGTACCTCACCGGCGAGTATTAGCAGATGGATTATATCGACTGGTGACGAAATTTTTCGGCTAGGAGAGAAAGAATTCTTCAGGTTGTACTTGGTTCCTCTGTGCGTATGTGTATGATGGACGACGAGAGAGACAAAGTTGGACCTGCTCTACTAGAACTCCTCTGCTGGACGAAGCTGCTACTGTGAACGCTGGATGCTGCTACTGCTGTGAACGAAAAGACTGAGAGAGACGATGAGATGAGAAAGAGTTTGAGGGTTTAAGCTGGTTTTTTTGGTAGAGTGATTAGTCTGTTGCTACCAAGGCTCGATCGATGGTAGGACCTCATTAAACGTCTTCCGCCCGTTTCCCTTTTTTTTTTTTTTAAACAAATTTTTTTCGTTTCCAAAATTTGAGGCAATTTTGAAAACGATTTTAGCTAAAAATAAAAATAAAATGTTTATCAAACGAATTTAAATTTCAGATTTTCAAAAAAATTGAAAATAAAAACGAAAAAATTGAAAACCGATATGCCCCAAACATCATATAAGCATGACCAGTAATGAGGACATATTAAACTACAAAGAACAAATACATTGTTTAATACAAAATATATAGACACTTAGACATACGCACTCACACACAAACATAGACCCACACACTCACACTCACACACAATTTTTCGGAAATGATTCAAATGAAAAATTGAACAATAATACTAATAGGAACAATGGGAATAAGAAATTGAAGAATTTAGGAAATAACACACACAAATCAGAAAACGTGCGCACACACACAAATCAGAGACAAAAAAATACATATGCAAATTAGTATGTATTTTCATTAGACCACAACTATTGACAAGGAAAATAGTATGTGCTTTCATTTAATTCTAAATTATACTTGAAGATGGTATTTATTCAAACACCTTATGTGCATGTGTGTGTCAAGTATAAAACAAATCACAATTACCCACACAGTAACCCACCCGCACACAAGCAGGAATTTACACGTGTGTGCTGTGTTTGAGAGGGAGAAACAAAGCGCGTGTATGACTAATAATCGAGCTGAGTCACTCGAGCTCAGTTTATTTTGGAGAAACGAAGTGTGTGTTTGCTAATAATCAAGTTGAATTTGTCGAGCTCAGTTCATTTATAAAATGAGCCGAGCAAAAAAGAAGTCGACCTTAATTTGAGTCCGAGTAACTAAATTATTTTACATATAAGCAAGCCAATATTTGATCATTGTATTTTTATTCTTATACAGAAAAATGGAGTATCCCAATCATTTAATATAGATGAAAAAAAAATAGTTAGTCAAAAATTTATTCATGTAAATAAAATTGAGTAATCCATTCTATGAGTTTTGATAACCAAAATTCTATCAATATCAAAAGTTAAATTTTATTCACTCCACAAAATTTATCAATTTTATATTATAAAATCTATCCACCAAATTAAATGAAAATTCTTTATAGTAAATTTATGTAGGATTATCTATTAAATGTTTTTAGAAGGATGAAAGGATAAATAAGTAAATTTAAATAGTGAGAAATTATGTTTTATCAGTATTGATAAATGTATTAATCGTGTCAATTTTGTGTTTGACACTGACCCAACCCATTTATTATTCATGTTAACTGATCGTCTTATATACGAGTTCGTGTCAAAAAATGATCAACTCTAACGCACTAATTTCATATCAATTTTGAGTCATATTTTCGTGTTGTGTGATAAATTGCCTTCCATATTAACAACTCTATTATAATAATTTTTTATTATTTGGTCTAAAATTTTGGTTAGTGTAGTATTACTCAAAACAATAAGGGGTGTCATTGTAATTTATCTTTCAAGAGAAAGCATCCCTCTGTCGTAAGGAAAACTTAACTTAAACGCGTCCCAGCCGTTTATAGAGGAGCAGGTGTGTGGCTTGTGCGTATACACAGTTCTGTGTATATAATCTCTAATTGCCACCTCATAATCTCTCTCTCCCCTCATCGTTGTCTTCATATCCTCACCTTCTCCTTTCCGAAAATCCATTTTCCCTTCATATTTAAGTAAGAAAATATCAGGATTTTTGATAATTAGTTGTAGCAGGAGTTGTGGTGATCTGATCTGAGGGCTTTGAGTAGTTGGTCGATTTCGATTATGGATTCATTCTTCAACAAGGGCGGTTTCAAAGCTACCAAATGGTAAGAAATCTATCTCGCGACGATGAATGTTTCTTTCCTATCTTGGGCTAAGGTTTTTTTTTTTTAAATTATTGTGTACTATTTTTTGGGTGCTGTGAAAGTGTATGAAACACAATATAATCGATAATTTATAGATCATTTGGGAAAAATTTATGCTCAACCAAACCCAATTGAACTACTTAATTGGGCGCGTTTTGAAATCCTAGTTTAGTAAGAGATCGGAATAACATGGATAATTACACTGTAGTTTCAATTTCTTTTTCTGGTTTTCTATTAAGCTTCAGTGATTGTATTCAATCCACGGCTTATTTTGGATTTAGTTGTTGACATGAATATATATGTGCACTCATTTGTGGTAAAAAAATGCAGCAAAACCCTACTGAAATTGACAATTCCGCGCATAAAACTGCTGAGGAACAGGAGAGAGATTCAGATAAAGCAGATGCGTCGAGAAATTGCCAAGCTCCTTGAGACTGGGCAAGAAGCCACAGCTCGCATTCGGGTAGGTTCAACAGAAGCCAATTTTTTACCTTCAATAACAAGAAACTTTAGTTATAATGTGTATACCCAAATTTGAGAGGATATAAAATATTTGTCTTTACACTTAGCTATGCTTGAATTTTGGTACTTATCTTGCTTTGATATCTCTTGTGTAGGTAGAGCATATCATAAGAGAGGAGAAAATGATGGCAGCCCAAGAGATCATTGAGCTGTTCTGTGAGCTTATTGTGGTCCGCCTTCCAATTATTGAAGCACAAAGGTATACCTTTCAGTGATATTCCTTGCTCTAGCCAGGGGCAGAGGTAGAAAATCATTCTTGGGTGGACAGTTTAACAAGTTTTAGTTTTTTATACTACTCGATAAATGTGAGATGATAAATTTATATCTATTACATTATATTGATTACTTACAAATTCAATAATTACCGAAGGGCTAAAAAAACCTAATTGTGATTTTTACAAAAAAATGTTTAATACCACCATTTAAAATTGTCCCTAATTAGTTTTTGTACTTTGAAAATTTTGCATAAGAACTTTATGGTTAATTTTTTGTTGATCATGAGGGAACCATTCCTTGATGCTCGCCTAGTTTTGATCTTGCTTGCTTTTTTCCGCTTTCCTTGCTTTATTGTCTCTCTTCACCCGTATGATTTATGACTTTTATCTCAACCCTGCAATCTTTCGAAAGCACTATAATATCTCCTCAAAAAGGAAAAACTTGACTTTGAAAAAGAACCTACAAGGGTGTCAAACCCTCCGTTTTCTCGCTTGTTCACTTATTCCACTTGCACAAACTGGCACTAGCTTCGTAACCAGAACTAGAACATGCGTGTCCTCTTTTCCTTGCTCTAGGTCCAATCCGTTAAAGTAGTTACCTTTGGATCAATATAAAGGTAGATAGTCGGATATATCTTTCCCTATCTACAAAATATGTCATCAGTCATACATTTATCATCAATTTGGATACGCAACTGAGGCTTCACAATCTTCATAGCTGCTTCTGTAAGTTTAAGCTGTGATCCTGGTTTTTATTTAGTGACAAAATAAACCCATATTTTTTTTGAAAGTTACCAAAATGACTCCAATATGTCCAAAAGTTATCTGGATATGTTTGTAATGTGTCCAAAGCGTCACAAATTGTTAGTCTCTATCCTAATTGATATAAGAAAAATAATAGGGTAGGCTTAATTAAATATACTCAATAATTTCTTAATTTTACTTGATTGAGGGTGGGCATGTGCCCCCCTTGGTCCTCACTTGGCTCCACCAGTGGATCGAGCTTGCATGTGTCTGTGTTTTTATTTTTTAGAAGGATGTCAGTGACTCTTAGAGCATTCGACTGGTCTTTCTTGGTATCTGACTCAGGCCACATGAGCCAGGCACTAGGCAAGCCCGTGCTGATGTGTGTAGCCTTAGGGGAGGACAACCTCCAATATTTTGAAGTGGGTTTTTCTGAAATATATACTTTTTTGCTTGTTTTCTTTGTAAATGATTGTCATCACACTGCAATCTTGTCCAAGTTCATGGTTTATAAATCCTTCAATGCAAATATAAAGGGTTCATACTTTTGCTTATGTTGAAATATATCTATTTATTGATAAAGATAAAAGAACTGAATATAATAAAAATTATTTACATATTTTGAGTCATGCCCCTCAATGTGAGGTGCTTCAAGGCATTGGGGTGTCCATCATGCAGACAGTGACAATATGCTCACTGGGAACACAGGATTGTTTTTAAAGTCACTATAGTGGCAATGACTATTTAGCTAATAATTGATGTTTTAACATGTTTGGTCCAGAGCTGTAACAACTTGTGGCATGAGTGGAACCTTGTAGTTTATGTTTTAACATGGTTGGTCCAGAATTGTAATAGTTAATGTATGACTTGAAAATAAAATATATCAGTATATAGAAGTGCTAGTTTAGGATATTAACTTCTATATATAATTACAGAGCTGATTTACGTGTGGACGACTATCAGATATAAATCAAGAATAACTAGAAACCATTATGTCTGAGACTTTCAGGAAACATGGTGACCGAGCCTTGTCAAAATAATTCTTACATGTATCATCCCAAAACAAAACTCTCAGGCGTGGTTGCGACTAAATATCCATAATTTTTTACCTGATCACCACCTAAACATTTTATGTCATGGATTTGAATTCTGAAACATAAAGAGAGAAAGGAGGAAAAAGAATGACTTAAAATATGCATGGTTTTAAGAAACCCCAAACTTGTGGAACATAGAGAAGTTGATTCAATCTTGTTCTTTACAATATGATATGTGTTTTGTCAATGTTTAACTGATTTGCAGTGGTTCTGGATCTATGTGACTTAGGTTCTGAATTTCTGTTAACCTTCACGTGAACTGTATCTTTGTTTCCAATTTCCAAGAATCAGAGTTGACTGATTTTCTGAAATTTGTTTATATCCTTTATGATGTTCAGAGAATGTCCTCTGGACCTGAAAGAAGCAATTTCTAGTGTGTGTTTTGCCGCACCAAGATGCGCAGATCTACTCGAGTTGCTGCAGGCTCAAATGCTCTTTGCTGGTAAATATGGGAAGGAATTCGTATCAGCTGCAACTGAGCTCATGCCAGAATGTGGTGTCAACCGCCAGGTCACATAAACTGTCCTCTCATAGTGTAACTGAACTGAGGCACTAACTTCTTTTACCTAGTTCTCTCTATGCTTCTCAATGATATTTACCTTTTTTCTATGAATGCAGTTGATAGAGCTACTATCAATTCGTGCTCCTGCTCCTGATGTGAAACTGAAGCTGCTAAAAGAAATTGCAGAACAGCATGAGTTAGATTGGGATCCGTCCACCTCTGAAACTGAATTATTGAAGCTACATGAGGACTTGCTGGTAAGTGATATTTATCAATGCCTTGATTCCATGTGCCTCTTTATGGCTCATATGTGTCCGACCTTTGCAGAATGGGCCAATACAATTTGTCAGTGGGTCTAAGCTGCCCCTTCCCAAAGAAAAACATGAAGAGCCACTGTACTCTGCTTCAGAAGAAGTCTCCAGTGAACAGCCTGACTCTGATTCAGTCTTTGATCCATCAGATTTTCCCGAAGTTCCTAAGGCATCACTAACCCAAGTGTTGGTATGGTCTCAGCACCAGAAATGCTCCCTTTCCCACCCTCTGCACTATCTGACCTCAATGAGGCATTGGAAAAACCTTTTGGAGCTAATGAAAATGTGGCACATGAACTGAACTTGGAGCCTGAGGAAGTGTTACGGCAGAAATCAGTGATCAAAGAATGTGAATCACCCAATGTCTCTGTTAGTCCAAAGGAAGATAAACAGTTTGTGCCGTTTATCTCTCCCCCATTAGTACCTTCTGCATCATTTCCTATGAAACAAAGCAATCCAGCTTCCTCTCTTTCAAGGACCAAAAGTGAGGCCAATGTCGATTTGCAGGATGTTTTGGCTGCTGCTCAGGCTGCTGCTGAATCTGCTGAACGTGCTGCAGCAGCTGCTCGCACTGCAGCTAGCCTTGCTGAGGTTAGAATTAGTGAACTCATCAGGAAAAAGACTGATGAAGTTTCTGATGATAGTGGATTGAACCCTTTTCATGTGGATTCTTGCCAGTCAGACAAGCTAGATAAGCCTCATCTAGATCATCAAAACTCTTTAAATGATTCTGATAGTGTTTCAAATTCTTTGAGCACATCTCAATATCATGGCAATAACCTGGAGATACAAGGATCAAATCTTCCTTCATATAATGGTTCCAAAGTGGAAGTTGACTCCTCCAATACCAACAAAAGTGTTTTAGGACAGGAGACGGCCAGTCACCAGCCTCAGAGGTTGCCTTCGATGGATGATGAAACATACTTCTCATATCCGAACTTGTTTACATCACAGGGCTCAAATCTCGGATCTGCTACCCAGTAATTTACTGATAATTCTCGTTCCACTCATGAGCTTTGAGTTGAGCTTCTACCAATTAGGCCTCTCTCTTATTTTGTATCTTTTTTTGTTCAGTGGATTGTCAAGTCGGAATTCTCTATAATCATGCTTTCAATTCTTCTACTGTATTGAGTCACGAAGTTGTTATGCATCATAGAAGCTTGCATTTCATATCTATCTTCATGTTTGTGAGTGTTGCATCAAGAACTTTTTATCTACTTCTGTCATAATAGAAGCCATACAAGGCAGAGCTTGTAGGTCGTGATGTACAGAAAGCCCTTATGTATTGCAGGAAATAAAGCTTCCTTCTATTGTACAGAACTGTGTTGTGATTGTATGTTTTAGAACAAGCTTTCTGGGCTGGCCTGTAATGAAGTTATTACTAGTATTTAATGTCACTTACAATATGTTTGCTTAACCTATGATGAAGACAATCAAACTTGAGTCTGCTATTTGATAGCTAAGATTGGCAAATCACACCAAGTATTATAACCCTACAACCTCTTAACCTAACTATCCCAGGTATTATGTTTTCTCACTCAAACAATGGACTAATGTTAGACCTCATGCAAAGCCGTCTCTCCACACAGTAGAATACATGTAAAGGTGGTCTAAAGGCAACTGCAAGGGTATACACACCCATGGAAGATTCAAACCTTTAGCTTACACCTGCCGAGGCACTTGCAAGTGGCAGAGCTACCATTAGTCCAATCCATTGGGGAATACAAAACACTGAGGTCAGATAGTTCGTAAACAAAACGAAATAGAATAAAGTTTCACTGGGTGCACAAACTTGTGCTGCACAACGACATTGAACTAGCATTAACAGCATCTGTCCATGAAAACATTATGATTCCTATCAAAAAAATCAAAACATCATGGCGTGGATTGTAAAAATTGCCCGTCAATAGAAATCCATATGCACATTTCACAAGGGGCTTACAGGAGTCATGAAAGACGATGTTTAGCTATAATAAATAGAGGGGAAAAGGCAAAAAACTTTATAACAACAAAAAAAATAAATTGAAAGACCCTATCAATTTTCTTTATAGCTGTGATGGGGTCACCTTGGACCGGACAACTCAACAGCATGTAGATTCTCTGTTGAGTCAACAATCCAATCTGAACTAGTATGGGGTGCAAGTTCCACCTCCTGTCTGAGAACTTCCACCTTCTGCCACTCGTCCCATTTTTCAGCCAACCCATCACCCTCTAGCATTCTCACCACCTCTGACATTTTGGGTCGGTCCATTGGAGAGCCTTGTGTGCAAAGCAGTGCAACTTGTATTAGCTGCTCTACTTCAGCCTCAACATAATTGCTTTGCAGATCAGGATCGACCAGCATTTCCAGTTTCTTCTCTTTCAAAAGTCCTTTCACCTGAAATATAGGACATCAATCAGATGTTGCGGCTTAGATGGTCCTTATATGCCAGAATGAAATGCTAGGGAAGCACATATGGCTCTTAGTTTCCTTCCGATCATCATTTATAGAACTATGAGAGAACATGAGCTGTGCTGGACAAGGCAGGATAAATGATGCTTGTAACTCTTCTAAACACAGTAAGTAAACAAGATATGAATCTCAGAAGGCTTCTAATCCAGTAACATCCCGACTTCTTTTATACAAATGTCGGGAACTGAATTTAGACCTTTATATACTCTAATGTATTCTTCACTTTCTTCCCTATCAATCAAAAAATGAAGAAATTTAGGGTCATGAAGTGCAAACTGCCAAACACAAACAGGAGAGGAATGTAAAGTATAGTATCCTTCCCTTGTTCAATAATAAAGGTATTTCGTCCTTGACTATCTAAAGAAAGATGAATCTTGCTTTGACAATCTTGCCTCTTAGAGAAGTTAAATAAGAATAAATATGAAAAACCCCAGCCGAAATAAAAACTACACGCAAACTCTAGAGAAACACTGAGCAAGTGTTGCAAGGACACGAGAAAGGCAAACCAATAATGATAGAGAAAAAGATTGTAAAATGCATACCCAATCAAGTAACATCACATCGTCGTCGTTTGCAAGGCGAGCAAGATCAAATGCCCTCTGTCCAGTGATTAGCTCCAGAAGCATTATCCCATACCCAAAAACATCAGTTTTCTCTGAAGATTTCCCAGTGGAGAGGTACTCAGGTGCTATATGCCCAATTGTACCCCGTACAGCAGTAGTAACATGGGTATCCTTGTAATCCATAAGCTTAGCCAAACCAAAGTCTCCAACAACAGCCTCAAACTCCTCATCCAACAATATATTTGCAGCTTTCACATCACGGTGAATGATCTTTGGGTCACAGTGATCATGCAAATAAGATAGTCCCCTTGCAGATCCCAATGCAATTCGCTTCCTTGTTGGCCAATCAAGAGGAGGTTCATTTGGTGGGCGTTCTACAAAGTGAGTAAAAGAATTTGTAAGTGAATGGGTTAAGATGGCAAGGGCGCTCTGATTTATCTGGCAACTAGAATTAAGAAACCAGATGTATGAGACAAGATCTGAATGATCCACAACCAATATAAGCAAATTACAGTGCAGATATTGTTCCTCGACATGAACAGTACCATCAAGAAATTGAAGTAAAATTCATGGAAAACCAGGGGAGAAGAGTCTTTGATAAATGAGTAAAAATTCTAACAAGAATCACCTCTTAAACATGATGCTACACTTCCATTAGCCATATAGGGATAAACAAGCAGACGTTCAGTTGGTGTCATACAAAAACCACGGAGTCGTAGGAGATTTCGATGCACAGCCATACTGATCATCTCAACTTCCGTTTGGAATTGCAGCTCCCCACCTGGCGTACGCTCCTCCTTTAGCCTTTTTACAGCTACCAGTGAACCATCTGCCAGGCGTCCTTTGTAAACCTTACCGAATCCACCTCTACCCAGAATGTTTTTATTGCTGAAACTGTCCGTTGCAACTTGTAATTCTCGCAGAGAAAACCTTTTCAGCTGGCCCAAATGGACTTCAGGATCCTCTTCGGCTGCAAAGGCACATAGGGGACTGATAATTATACCCTAAAGGTAAATTACACTACAACCCTAGTAACACTCTCCCCCCCCTTTCTCTCCTACTATCAATTTTCTTAGATTGCCTACCCTCGAGCTATGCTAATTGATTTTTTATAGAACTCAAAACCAAACCACCATTCGGTTTTGCACAAAAAATAGTCACGTGCCCACAACTATCCCCTCAACTATGTTAATTGTTACACCTTGCCTTAACACATCGCAATTTGTTGTCTAAAATCTAACAATTGTTTGGGTTTGAGACATCGTGAAGCCAATTAGGCATAAAGTGTAACTAGGGCAATAGTTTACGCGGAAAAGGGTAATTTACCCCTATTCTTTAATATTGTTATGTTTTAATCCAATTCTTCAGTTAAACCACTAACCAGGCACATCAAAGAAATATTCTTGTGGTTTTCTGCGGCGCCACCATGCAAACGCCATGGCAGGAGCTGCAAATAGTAGAGCAGCACCAGCAGCCACCCCTCCAGCAATCGCTCCGGTGGCACTATTCCCTCCTGAAATTGTCATTTGGACATTAAAGCACCTGAAAAATTAAATCATAATAGAAAGAGGGATCGACCAATCACTCTTCCTTCAAATTCAAATTTTAGTTAGATGGTAAATTCATTTAAGTTCTCCAAATTCAAAGTAGAACAAAAAAAGATTCGCCCACGTAACATGAAATATTATCCTGGAAGTTTTTCCAATGATACTGGGCTAGAAAAGAAGTTGCAGACCTTATTCCCCTGCCCTTCTTTTGTTGGCTGATGTAATGAATGCAGATACAACTACTTCCTCAAAACAAGACGATATAATAATGTTCTCAGCAAAATCAATACAAATAGCAGATTACTGTATATCACACATCAAAACAAGCCAAAACAAAATATAAAGTGAGAACCAATCAGGCTCCAAGACAAGATATGCTGCCACCCACTCAGCATCATATAAAAACCAGAAACCTAACTAAGCAACAATTAGGAAAATCACCTGGCGATGAAATTGGAGGTGGTGGCACAAATGGGGGGGGTGGAGAGAACGGAGGAGATCCTGGGCAAGGCCGTCCAGTAACCGGACCACATAGATCCAGGTTATTTGCAAAACTGTAAATCAAAAGCTATATCAGCATCATCGAGGAACAACATTCAAATAAAGATGAATGCCAGGTCAGTTTATCAGCAAGAAACCTGATGGGAGTGAATAGAGAAAAGGATCCATTATCTGGAACAACTCCCGAGAGGCGGTTGTTTGATAGATCCCTGCATAACAATTGAATGTGAGACCACCATTCACATTGCAACTGAAATTGTGTGTGATAGTGTGTCTGAAAGAGGGGTAGCAGAGGGAGTGCGAATCTTCTGCAGTTGGCAAAGAAATAAGACCAACTTGAATACTCACAACACTTGCAGTGACGAGATATTAGTCAATGACATCGGAATGGGTCCCGTCAAACTGTTGTTGTTGAGCCGGCTATCCTTACACAACCATCACGAGGGCATAGAAAGTTAATATCCAAGACCATTCAAAAGATACAACACTAGTAGACGTTATAAGCGCCCAAACATGTAAAAGCAAAATAATTAAACTGCCAGTGGGAAAAACATAGAAAGAAAAACTTCCTTGATGTGATGCATTTAAGCGTAAGAAAAAAGAAATACTCGAGACTGTTTAGGAATAATGACCAACATTTATCAGTGCTCTTGCCTAACTCAAGATGAAATGGACACAAAAGTTACTTCAACATCCTAATATTTTCCTTGTCCAAGTCTCTTCCTTTTATTGTTCTCTTTTAGTATCGTAGTCAGAAGGTCAAATGCATATTGACAAATTTGTTCAGGCAAGAATAATCACTTGCTTCCACCTAAATGCAGATACAAAGTTACTTAGTTTGATATAGGCCATCTCATCCATGGACTGTTTTGTGTTTTGCAAAGCACATTCTACAACAGTAGTCCAACCAAAAAGAATGGTGTTGAGGGCAAAGTCAGTTATTCCTATTCTAGATTAGGAAGTTTATCTTTTAACAAGAATTGTACTATGGGAGGCAAGATGTCACTCTGAATGGTATTTCACCCCCTTTTTTCCAGAAACTAAAAGATTTAACCTTGAAGAGATGAACAGTGGAGTTTCTTTTTATTTTCTTTAAGGTCCTGTTTGATTAGAAACAAAACAGTGATAGGAAGTGAAAATACTAGAAGTGAACTAAAAGAAAGGAAAAATAAAAGAAAATCAACTTTCCTACACGTATTCTGTTAAGAGTGAAAAGTTATGACAAAAGGTGCAGAAAATTCAGATTTTACTCTTTGAAAAAGATTAAATTGAAAGAAACTATTTTGACTCCAAAATCAACCATCTGCTGAGAGTAGGTATTTCACCCCCATATTAATATAAGATCAATTGCCGGTAGCTGAGAGTAGGCAAAGAGAGCATTAAAAGTTCGAAAGTTACAGTAATCCAATTTTCTGGAAATTTTTTCTCTTTTTTGGTAAAAAAACACCAAAAAAGTCAAAAATATTTTTTGGGTACTTCATTTCCATAAATTTGCATACCCCTGCACTGATGGCATCCTTACTTTTGCTACCTTGAAAATTCTATAGCCATTCCCATCACCATCTTCTAACTCAATATCACTACCATCGAAGCCTCATAATCACCATCACTATAAGACCACCACCATCACCACTGCTATAACAATTGCATGACACCAACATAGTTATCACCTTTGCTACTCCAAGGGCTTTATATGCAAAACGTTGGGGAAAATGGTCATGCCAACACTCATAGGCTAGCCAAGAACCAAAAGCAATAGAATCATAAGTCATCCATGTAATCTCTACCATATTTTCTCTCTCCAGCTACTGACATGCTCCTTTGCCTTGTGCTCTCTTCCAAAAAGACAAGAAGTTTTCTTGTTTTTTTTTCACCTTTTCTCCTTCACTTAATGTTATAATTGAAGAGTTTTTACTAAGGTCACAGGAAAATATGAGTTTTAAAGCCATAAAAATTTCCATGGGCTTGTCATTTCCCTTCATTACTTTCTGAGTTTAATAACACTTTCTATCACCACCTACCCAAAAGATCCCACCTCACCACACACCACAACCAGTACGGTTACATCCAACCTCCACATTATGCTTTTTTTTTTTCCTTCGGAATGTATACGCAACCTCCACAACATATATCGCCAAAAGCACCTAACCCCAGTCCAAACCCCACCCCCACCCCCAAAAAAACAGAAAAAAAAATCCCCAAAACAAATAAAATATATAAACTCAATTAACACCGGTGCATGTTATTAGAAGTGTTTCCACAGGCAAATAAACGTAAATGACCGAAAATACAAGAACAAGCAAGTATCTACACAATATCATCACTAACGAATCAAGAAAAGGATAAGTATACACACAGGAACCGCAATTTCAACAGCCTGCCCAATGTGCCTGGGATTGGACCCCCAAAACTGTTCAAGTAGAGATCCAAGCTCACCAAATTGGTCAGATTTCCAAGATCACTTGGAATGGGTCCACTAATATTATTACTGTAGAGTTCCCTGCCACAAACAAGTTAAGAGTAGTTAGTTGAGAAAAATTTTCACATTAGGATAAACCCTCTAACTTAAAGACAGTGTGTATAAAATATAAGCAGCAGTTTCTCCCTTGGGCCAAAAATAAAACCCTTCCGTGCAAAAGTATGCCAAATACTAGTGTATCTAGACTACTCTTCCCAGCAGCCTGCAAGCAGGATTAACCCTTAATAACAGCCTTCTACATCACCAATTTTGATCTCTTGCTTGATGGTGCATCACTATTAAACCATGTACTAAATTCTTGAGTAAAGGAGTCGAGGTTGAACTATTTCCTATTTATACAATGGCACAAGTAATTTTTACCTGTGCTCAAATTATTAATTGAAAGGACCTGTTCCTACCCATCATTATCTTTTTACCAAAACCAATATCAAATATTTCACCCAAAAATTCTTTGACATTTGGAGGATGATTGTATGACTAGCAACAGCTTCAGAGACTTTGGAAAATGGCCAAATAATGCTTTAGGCCAGATAGAGCCTGCTGATCAGCAGAAGTCCCACGGTTCTCACCATCACCAATCAGCTGGTCGTACCTATTATATAATCTAAACAAACTTACATAGAAGCTTCTTCAAATTTGTCAGAACCGAACTAAAACCAGCTCCTTTAAACCCATTCACTCTTATACATTAAACATCAGTTATGAATAAAAATCAATTCAGAGTGATTTCAAACCATTTGGTTTTTGTTTATGACTATAACTCCTACAGTAAAGAGGGATGACCTTATAGAGGCGATACTATTCTTCCCTTCCAAAAAGAATTTTCCAAAATTATGCCGAGATTATGACTACAAATCTTCCATGGTTATTCAATTATAATTTATTTTATATTTTCTGATTTTTATCCTTTGAACTTCAATGAAGATCTATAACATAGGAAATCAATATAATGATGCTCTTTGTTTCAATTATTTTGTTGCTGGTTATCAATGTGAATTAGTATGGTAGCTTCACTTGCTTAACTTATTGGCAATTCCCAAGGCTTCTTTGACGTTTTTGCAGTAGATTAATCCTTGGTTATCAAAGTGAATTCCAAATATATAGATTGATCCTCATTACGCGAGGAAGATCAAATAAAACCACAAATCAAGGAATGTGTGAAATTAATAAAACCACAAATTAAGGCACATTTAGGGTCCATTTGGTTAGGAAGAAAAAAAATAATGGAAAGTGAAGTGAAAGAAAAAAAATGATAAAAAATATATTTTCATATATGTATTTCGTTAGAATGAAAAAATTTTCAGAAAGTTTAAAAAAAATTTCATTATATTGTTTGAAAAAAAGAAAAGTTATAAATTTTTTTTTAATTGTCTAAATTACCCTTAATTATATTAAATCGGTCTAAAAAAGAAAAAACTATATGTAATTATAATTTAAAGTTAAAATTTTTTCAAAAAAAGGCTCGAAACTTAATTTTAAGACAATCACCAATATAAAGGTCTTTGGGCCAAATTATATGATTAATCAAATTCATACCAAAATTTTTTTAAATTAATAACCAATAAAATATTTTAAGAAAAATAAGGATAAAATAAAAAATTAGTTATAGATCACAACTTTCTTGCATTTCCTTGTGTTTTTTACAAGAAAAAAAAGTTAATTATTTGTGAGAAAATTCAAGCATGAATGAAATTATTTTTTTCATTATTTTTCTTTTCATGTTAACCAAACATATGAAAATTTTAAAAAATTTCTCTTTTTTGCATTTTCTATCATTCTCCTGTTAAACAAACGAACCCTTAGAATTAATATTTGATTAAATTTTATTAAAATCATTTGGATATTTACACTTGATCATTCAAGCATAAAATTTAGCAATAGTGGCATTCTCAACTCAAGGTAACCTAGCTTGCATGGTCGCTGATGATGTATGAGATGTCTGGGAAGTCTGACTGAACAAAAATACTTCCACCTTCAAATGTAATCACCAATCTTTCCTCACTCTTTGATTGAAATAACCAATTTCAGTAACAAACATATACAACTTTTTAAACCGGAGAATGGTTGGTCCCCTATGTCCCAAGCAAACACCTATTTTCTCACATGGAGACAGGATTATGAATGGCAGAACAGCAGCCAAAAACAGGATAATCTTCCATTTGTATCCATCTTTGATAGGAAGCAAGCAACAGACCATCCAAGAAATACAGAAGTTTGCTCACTAATCAAGGGACTCTCAAGCTTGCCAGCTTTCTAGAAGCCCATGGGACTAACCCCAGCAGGCTGGCGAACAAACTACAGGGTATGTTGATTGACTTTCGTTACAGCGCATCTGTATTTCAATTTTAACCTCGTCTATGAAACACAATCAGCAACCCATCAAGTTCGTATTAACAAGAAAAATTGGTTACCCCTTCTATATTGCTCCAAAGGCAACCGAATTTGAATCTTTTCAAATACACTGGGGTTATTATACTTTGGAGATTAGCATATCACAGCAAAAAAAATCATAGCACAGAAGCATCACTTACAAGTACTGCAAATTCTTTAGAAGGCCAAGCTGAGGGACCAATTGACCAGATAATGCAGCATTCCCCAGATCACTGAGAAGAGTTGCATGAAAAGATTGAACATTACAAATTGCTAAAAATTAATTCGCTCACCAAGTTTGAAAAATGCAACATCAACACATACAACTAAGACATGTACAGAGAGAGTACTCACACTCTTATTACACTATTATCATTGTTGCATGTAACATGAAACCATGTGCAAGGATTGACAAGAGTAGGATCCCAACTCTGTAGCACGTTGTTAGGATCTTGTAAGCTGGTCCGTAAGCTATGTAAAGCATCACCTGTTTGAAGATGCAATAAAATACAATCAGATGCTACAAATGGACTAGGCAGATCATAGAGTACAATTGTCTTACACAACAAGTTCTCCCCTTCAGTTGGTGTTCACAAAAGAAATAACAAAGAAAAAATAAACAAAGAAACTAATGTGACTTCATGCCAAGTTGGTAAATGTACTCCCCTTGAGTATGTCAACAAACTCCCCCTTAGTTACCTTTAATTTTATAGGCTTGTCTCCTCTAAACTTTCCTGAAGTATGAAGGCATATGCCTCTTGCAATTTGCGTAATATTAAATTTGAACACGGAGTCACTATCTTTAATTAAAACATTGAAGTGTGATGAAAAATGCGATGTTCCAGATGCACAACGAGGCTCTTAGTCTTAAAAATATTCGCTATTAGTTCATATTGTAGAAGTAATGCAGGAAGCATATCCTAGAACATTTTGTTGAGATATGCTAAATTATTCAACTGTACAAAAATAAAATCCACAACCACGATTATGGTATTTACCCAATTCAGACAGGTCCAAGAATGCTCATCAACCACCATTTTCAAACACAATACACTAATGATCACAAGGAAGACAAACGCCATCGTTACAGAATTTTCCCATTTAAGACAGTCCAACAATAAACATCAATCACCATTTTTAAACAGTTACATTGATACACATCAAGGAACACATGAAAGAAACTTTTAATATAATTAGTCTCAGAAAATCTCATATTTTACAAACAATCATAAGAATACCCATTTATGAAGATAAACATTGGCAAATTAAAAATTTTATAAAAAAGATAGCCAATAAAAAAAAAGTTCAGAACACATCAAAGATAATACAAGTACACAGATTCACCAACCTTCCATGTTAGCATAAATGAACCTAAGTGGATGAACCACCATGATCAACCAAACCAAAAGCGACGCCATAGCTTCTCTCTCCATCACAATCACACACACATACACACACACATGTATATGCTGAGCTACCACTGTATCAACGATCTCTCAGATCCAAGAAAAACGCACCCATTTGCACCATTACAAAACCCTTGAAACCCACAAACTCCTAGCTCTCAGTTGCCCAAATCTCCACCATTATACTCGTAAAAATTCCCAACAAATCCGAATCAAATTGCTGATCTCTTCAAACAATATAACTCAAGAAGAAATAAGGCGATACGCAAAACAAAAAATTCGATTATTTTGGACTTCCCCTCCTCTGTACGTGAACCTTTTTCTTCGATCCCTTTTATCTCTTGCACACTTTTCACCTCTGTACGCCTTTTTCTCTCTCTAGGACTCTCTCTCTCTCTCTCTCTCTCTCTCTCTGCAGTTCTGTGCAGAGAGTGTATATGTGAGCGATAATTATCTGTCTTTTCTTTTTGGGCGTGTGCAGTTTTTGAGTGCTGCCCGAGCGGTGGGTTTGCTGCCCGCTCAGCCCGAATTCAAACGGCTTCGCGTTGCCCACCCTCCCCCCCCTCTCTCTCTCTCTCTCTCTCTCTCATGTACAAGTAATGAAAATAACTTTTTGGATGTGCTAAAAATTTTGGAATTTTTGCACTTTATACCCTAAAGATTTCAAATTTTTTATTCTTATACTTTTAAAAATTAAATTTCTCATATTTTACTCTCGATATATTAAAAATATTTCAATATAGCCTTTTTGCTAGTTTTTTTTATTTTTTTCATCTAAAGTCAACTCATTGATACTAACAAAAAAATTAATAAAAAACTAATAGAATGTTACATTACAATATTTTTGATATTTTAAAAATGTAATATGAGAAATTTAATCTATAAAGATATAAAATAAAACAAATAAAATCTTTTTAAGATACAAAGTCCAATTCACCCACATTTTTATCCAAACATTCTATGGCACGTGTTTAGATTGTTTCTCAAAAAAAATAGTATCAAAAAATATGTTTTTGAGGAAAACTTTATAATTATTTTTGTAATTATTAAATATTTAGATTTCTAATTAAGTAACTTTATTATTATTCTCAAAAAATAAGATGCTCTCATTAATAAGAAGCCAAAAGAGATAAGTTGAATGCGTACCTAACTATTAACATTTTTTACCCAAATTTGTTACCTATAAAATCAAATTGATTATGTAAAGTTGAATATGAGGAGATCATCAATCATATGGTCAAAGACACTTTAGTATTACTCCCAACAAATGGAAGCATAGGTCAAAAGTGATGATTTAAATCAACGTGGTTTGATCGAATGAATGATATACAATCTACCATTGAATGGGGTGGTATAATGGAATATCAGTTGACTTTCTCACTTTGAGATTAAAAATTTAAGATTCGAATTTTGGAGTCTATATTAAAATTTGATAGTTGATTATTATGTTAGCTTAACTAATTTAGTTCCTAAGAAGAGTAATTGGCTCAATCAAGAGACTTCATGATTCTACTAATGAAAGTCTATTGGGGTGGTTGAGTGTACTTTTGTCCTCATCCATTTTTTCAATAGGAAAAAAAATAATTATAATAATAAACAATAAAACCAAGAGGCATTCCTTAATTTTAAGTCGAATTTTGAATGTATGGTACTAATATGCATACAAGATCATATTTTTTAAAAAATATAATGTCAAATAAAATTTTATTTTAAAAAAGAAAAAAGCTTTTATTCAACCATTTCGACTCAAACTTAAATAATGTCTATAATAGATAACTCTTCAATCATTTAAATTTATGATATCAAAAGAATATCACTTCAAATAATAAATAGATCAGATCAACAATTCAAATAATGAACATATCAGGTAATCAGAAAGTGTTGAGTTGACCTGAAAGAGCTAGTAATAGAATCTAAAGGCCGACCATCAACGAGGAAATTAACACAAGAGATAAAGAGTACTTTCACGTGCAACTCCAATCTTAGACAATGGATCATCATCTCCAGAAAGTCACGTTATTACTCATAAAAGGTCAAATATTCACGATTCTTAATGATCAAATATTCACCAAATATTCTCTGATATTTTTTGTTATAAAAATAATAATTATTAGCGTATAAAAGATAAATCTAGACACTACTCTAAGCAAGAGAAAAATATTACTATACTCATCTTATTATTAAAAATAATACATGGATCAAGAAGCAAATGCCTCAATTACAATGAACCAGTGATTATTTTATTTAGTAGGATGAACCACTCTAAACTTGTACATTCTTATCTATGTTAATTTTCATCTTATACTCATAACTCACAGCTCATCAACGTACTCATACCCCTCGATATTTAATACCATCACAAATAAAATTATTTTACTCTAAAATTAAAATTAATGCAAAAGGTTCATAGAATCCAGTGATTTGATCGATAAATTTCATCTATTGTTGCAATCTATAATATAAAATAGAATAAACTTTCATAAGTTCATCCGACTGTTTTAAATAGGCTCATTCAACGGCCATCAATATCTATTTTAAAATTATTCATATTGAATTTTCTTTTTAGATCTATCACTTCTTACTTACGTTATACTGTATCTTCATGCACGAGTTACTCTAATTATATTAAATAGTAGATTCTTGTTATATTAATGGAGATCCATTTTTAAGGATTTGATTAATTAAATTACGATCCAATATTATTTATTATTTAGCTGAATTTTGGGCCCAGAGAAAATGACTTTGTGTTGTCTTAAAAAAAATCTCCCTATTCCACGCTTTTAATGTGGTATCTGCGGATGTAGAATGTGGAAAGCGACCGGACTGTATTGACAATAACACCGTTGTAGGACAAGTGGGGTCCACGGTCATCAAGTTCAAATCCAACTAAATATTCCGTTTTGAGGAAAATAATTGGGGGCGGGTCGGTCTCTTTATAAAAAGATAGTCAAACTTAAGTCCCTTTGAGAGTTGAGACTTTATTGTCTCTTTCTATTTGGTGCCTTCTTGTTCTATTTAGTTGTTATTTTGTGTATATATATATATATATATATATTTTTTTTTTTTTGGGGGGGGTGGTTTGGGTCAAAATTTCAAAATTCACCTAATGAACCAAATCCACATTATGGGTTTTAATTTCTTATTTATTTTTCGTTTTATATTAGTTCGAGATTATACATATTAATGGGTTGAATTTTGATCTAAATCTAAACTTGATTATTGAGAAATACAAATTATTATTTTTGATCAATTGCTCAAATTCGAATCCACCACTATACTCTATGGAGTGATGAAGTTCAGCCCACCATATTGGCTTCGACTAAAATTGACAAAAAATATTCTCTTTTTCGTTTTCTTGTTCAATGATTAGAGGTGTTTTGATTAGTTTACCTGCAACTCAACTAATCTTCTCTTCGGTCAGATCTATGATAAACCATCCATGTCAAAATTATTATATTTATAGGGGACAAATCCATCATAACTTGGTCCAAAAAATTATTAAGATTCGAATTCAGAACGTCTTGGTTTACAATTCATCCCTATTATTATTTGAACTACTCTTTGAGATTTGACAATAAAGATTCTTTCTACCTTAGTCACGATTAAGTTCTTGCGACAACATAGTCAAATTTTTCCTACAAAAACCTTGATCACACAATTGAAAATGGGTTAATTTTTGTTGTCCAATGTTCGATCAAACTTTGGAGGGTTTGCATTGGTGAAATTTAATTTAATGTGGGCAACCCCAAGTCGAGTTCAAATTAAGTTGAATAAATTGAATTAATTTTATCATTATTTTGATGAAAAAGTCTCTAGTTTTTTCTTTAGGGAAGAACAAATTGTTGACCAATTTTCAAACTATCTCAATGATTAATCCTTACTTTCAAGAAGAAATTATTGGTTTTGACGCCTCCTCCCCTACTTTTCCTTTTTAGCAAACGACAATGATTAGCCTCTAATCCTGTTCATTACAGTAAGGTATCATGCACCAAATAGTACACCACTATTTTGGCAATTTCTTTTATTAATTAGTGGTATAGTATAATTTTCAGCTAGAAGTCAATGTTTTGAGGACAAAAATGGTGCCTAAAGCATGCAATTTCAAGTTTTTAAGAACAAATACAAAGTCTGTGAAGGATTAAACATATTCAACCTTAATCTTGCATGCAAAAGTGTCTCGAAATACCAACTTTGCGAAGAATTACATAGCCTTAACTCCGCATGTAGGACGAAGTGAAGAATTTTATTCAGAATAGACACTTATGCACTATAATTTTTTTTCCTCCTAACCAATCATACTATATAATATTTTTATATTTATTATATCATATTTGATACATAAAGTCTATTTAATATAAAAAATGACAAAACAAATAATGTATATTGTATATGTATAAAAAAAATTACCAATCGTCACAATTGTAAAAAAAATTGATCTAATTGTCATTTTTGTAATTAAAAAATATCAATTATTCACTAATAACCCATTGAATTTATTCAATAAATGATGTTCTAAACATTATCACTGAAATATTAGCATAGTGAAACTATTAAACTAAAATTTAAGAGGTAAACATAGTAAAAAAAATTAAAAATCGATTGACACATAGTAAAGAGTATAATCAATACTCGAATAAAAATAGAGATGATTTCTCATAAAAATAAAGTTAAATGAATGCCAATTGCAATGACTTTCACTTCTAAAAATTTATAAATAATAAAATTAAGGTCATTTGGAGAAAGTTTTAATACAATAAAAAAAAAAACTAAACAATTGAAATAAAAAAATTATAGGGTGGGCACAAGTAAAAAATATACATATAATTTTTAAAATATATAAATATGAATAAAATTTGAGTCGCCTCTATGTAGCTTCACCCATCCCCTCATGCAAAATAATACTACTATCATGATCAAGATTTTTTACTAAAATTTTCATTTTAAGTGTAATGACACAGTTTTCACCGTCAATTAAGTGGGTCTCATTTGTATTTAATGATAGAGATTGTGACACATCACTTGCGATAACAAACTTGATAAAAAAGTTGGTAGACATAAAATTATTGAAATTTAATTATGCCAATAAGACAACCAAAAATCAAGGTAAATGTTATCCAGCCCATAGAATAGGACTGAATTACCAAATAACTACCCATATGGAAGAATCCAATAAGACTGGGCCGTAGTGATGTAGAGTGGGCCCGTAAGCAATTTTTCTGGATACGGATCCTTCTCTTTCAATAATAACGTACAATGATTTCTTATTTTTGCTTCATCTTGTTATAGAAAAGGACCATGTGTACCGGGTCCTATTTTAACCTTGCAATTAGAGGGAATTGTCGTATGCCCTTCAATTGAAGAAGGAGGAGACGTTTTTACGACTCTTATGATATCTATGGCTCAAAAAAGTATTTTTGGTACCGTACCAAATTTATCACGAATTAAGGATTGATTTTACGACTTAATATGATAATCGGTAAGATTATATCAAACTGAGATTGTTTAATACTTGCAGTGTCTAGCTTATACTTTGAAGTTGCGATTGTGTGGCAAACATGCCTCCTAGCTTATACCCTGCATCTCTAGCAGGCCACTGTCGTGAGTGATAACATTGAGGTGATCTAGCTAAACTCAACTGAAGGAGTTTTCCCTGGGAAGTCAACTCTTTTTTTGAGGACATCCTGGATATTGCAAGACAACTTAACTTAAAGTTTATATACAAGTTTAGAGCCTATAATAAGACTTAGGCTCACTAGGTGGCAGTATCTGTTTGCTCCCATACTCTACCACTTAGTTGGGTCAACTATCCACCACTAGAGCTTAAGACTTTTTTTTTTTCTCCTGATTGTAATTGCTTATTTCCAACTTCAATGAAAATGGAAGCTTACTTGTTCTAAAAAAAAAAAAAAAACTGAGATTGTTTGAAATTCATCCAATTTTAGAATTGGGTATAATTTTCTTTTTTTGTTATATTCCTTATCATACTTCTTGAATCTTGTAGCTCGTTCGTCATTGAAATCCTACCCTAACTATTTCTTATTGATAATTGCTTTGGGTAACTGCAAGGTAAACCTCTTGGATCCTCTACTTGAAATTAAAGAATGGTTGCAATTCCACTAAGTGCTATAAATAGAGTTCACAGTGAATCTGAAATGTCAAAATTTAATCAAACTTACACACTATCTATTTGTTGTTGCGTGCAATCAAGTTTTTGTAATGTCAAACTCTAGTCATGTATAAATTTTTTTGTTAGATTATTACATAGGAGAGGGAGTAGGGGTGTAACTTGGACGGGTCAACCAGAATTAATCCTGAGCCCAACTCAAAAAAAATAAGGCTTAGATTAGGATTTTTAATACTTGGGTTGGGGCTTGGGCAAAAAAATCTTGATCTGAATTGAATTTGGGTAAGCTTTGGATTGAGGACTCGGGTTGTTGGATCGAGGACTTGGGTTGTTCGATTAAAATTGGGTTGCACTAGATTATTAAGTCGGGTTGAACCCGAATATACATATATATATATTTAATTAGAGTTAGTATTTATCTTCACTCTTTAGAGTTTAGACTTTCATTTCATTTCTGCTCTTCACCCCTGTGCCTCTATCACTTTCAGATCCCTCTCTCACTCGTCTTTCTTCCCTCTCTTAGTCTCACTCTCCCAATCGTCACTCTTCTGAGTCATTTCAAACTCTCAGTCTCCTTCTCTCACTTATCATTCCTCCCTTTCTCACTCGTCATTCCTCCCTCTCTCTTCATCTACACCTCGCTTTTCATCTCAGATTACTTGAAAAAATCAGACCTAAACTTGAAAAATCAAATATATACTTCAAAAAATCAACTAGAATTAAGTAACCCAAACCAACCCGATTTTTAATTCTAAATCAGCCCAAATTAAGTAATCCAAATTTAATCCGAGCCTGTCCAAATTAAACTCGGACAGTATTCGAGTTGAGTATCTTTGGTTGAGGTAGGGTTAGAGTTAGGATTAGGGTTCAAGGTTATATATTTAGAGTTGGGATAGGGTTGACCTCTCAACCCTTCCAAGTTGCACCCCTAGGACGGAGGATTGATACCTAATAGTGCTAGTTTGAATCCCCCCTCCCCTAGTGTAGTACCACTCTGATAGACCCATTCATCTTAGTCGTATATAGTTGAATTTGTATGAATCCATTCATTAAAATTTAAAGGGTTAATCTCATTTTGTACATCGAAAGATGCTTTAATTTTCAATTTAAACATTTAAACATTAAAAATCTCAATTTATACCCCTCCAATGTTATGAATTAATAGTAATGTGGACTTGACCTAGATTGTCGTTCAATTTTTTGTCATAAATGAAACACGTGAGGTGCAAGTGTTTTGAGCATGAGGGCGAGGCATGTTCATTACTACAAATCTTCGTCTGCAATCAATTTAACATCATTTTGTGTATCAAAAATAGGATTTTATTAATCAGATAAATGTTAACCCTATTATGTACAACTTATATGAGACGCTAACAGTTAATGAATTTACACATAAACTCATATCCGAAGCACTTGTAACTCACGTGCTTCAAGTTATGAAGAAAAATTGAATAACAGTTTGGACGAGTTCTATATTATTACTAATTCATAACATTGAGGGTACAAACTAAAATTTTTAATATTTAAAAGTGTAAGTTGAGAATTGAAACATTTTTTGAGATGTAAAATAAGATTAACCCAACATTAAAGTGGTTAAACCGATCAACTCAAATAATACCACATCCACAAATGCTATGCTTATATTGGTAAATTTACATCGATTTATATCGAATTATCAATCGTGTTCAAATAACCAACCCTCAAGCATTATCAGGCAGAGTCATTGATGATTGAATCTGAATATTGTATGCGTAGTTGTGTATATTGTCTATGTACATATGTTTATAATAATTCATCCAAATGAATATAGGAGGAAATCTTAGTTGGGGAATAATAAAATTATAGGAGAGTAGGTGTAATAACTGATAAGACAAGCAGCAAGGCCAGGAGTTAATACCTGTCACCTGACATCCTTTCTAGGGCAGGTAAGAGGATACCTGTCAAGTACCAATGACCTCCTTATATTTTAATTACTGCATATAACCACAGTATGCTTTTATATATTTGCTGATTGTAGGCTCACTGTTAAATGACTATATTGCCCAAAGAGCAAATACCCAAAAAGTAGTAAATAGAGTTGAAATCATGCAAGACCAAAGTTTGCAGTGCAATGATGTAGATGCTGGTATAGAATCTGTCGGAGGAGAAGAAAGGGGGGATTAGGGTTTCCAAGAAATTAGTAATTTTATTATTATTTACGTTCAAGCCCTCTTATGTGTCCAATTTTGATGGAATCGAATGCATTAGTGCGATCAATTTCTGTGTGGTCATATAACTACACAGTATTCCTTCTTTGACTTTGCTAAGTATGCTCAAACGGTTATGGCAAAATGGTGTGCCTTTTGTCGTTGGGAATAATTATGGCATCGAGTTTGGTACTGTATAAAAAATTATCATAAAATAAGAGTGAGATTATAATTTAATTTGGTGAAATTGGAACTCGATTTAGGTCAAATTACAACCCTAAAAGAGTAAACTACAACTAAAAGCTGTTAGATTGATTCTAAAAATTACGGTCGATTCTAACATACTAGAATTGATCTTAAACAACATCTTGTAGTAGCTTCATTAAATGAGCCATAATCTTATATTTATTATTCAATAACTTTAAAAACAATACTAACAAATAGTGATTCGGTAGTGTAATATTCTTTTCTTTTCCTCTCATGTGTCTAAGAAGAACCAAATAGCATTACTAAACATAGGGTTAGGGGATCAGATTTAGGATTCTAGTTTGGCACATGACTAGGGTGTTTGGTTTGGTCTTATCAATTCATGGTATTTACTAAGCAGTAAATGCATGACTGCATTTGCCAGAGTCAACTCTTGGTGGCACATTAGGAGGCAAACTAGGGAACTTGTAAAAACACAGTTCATTTAAACAAAGACCACCAAACCAGCATTAAAAACCTCTGCTATAGGGGGGTAGGAGAGAGAAGAGGATCAAGAAATGGAGGAGACATCAGAGAAGAAGGTTACACAGGGAACAACACTCTTTGATTGTCTTTGTAATCCTTGCAGTTTTGTCCATGAAGCTGTGAAGGCTATGCTAAAGTGTTTGGGTTTTGAATCTGAAACTGAGGCTGTGGACACTTCTAGTTCTTCAAGTTCAGATCACCAAGAAGACAAGAAGGTCACCAATGAACCAAGCTCCCAAGGCCAAGGGTCTTCTTCAACAACTGGACAAGCTATAGATCCAATTTCAGCAGCAGATCCAACAGTTGATCCACCTGTAAGTAATGAACACCAAATGAAAAATGAAAATCTTAGGTTGAGTTTTGTAACCGTTTTGTTTTTAATTTTTAGTTTTTGCCAAAAAAAAAACAACAATGCGTTTGGTGTATGTTTTTGTTTTTTTTTTCCATATAATTTGTTTTGAAAACAAGTTCCAAATTTACAGACAAAAAATTGATGCTCGCAACAACACCAAAACAACGAAAACACGTGCACGCCTTGGTGGGCTTTAATGATGTCTCCCACCTGTCTGGACATGTTTGTGTGTACACATACACATAGATTGGAGTATTAGTTGAACCGATCTTGAGTATTTTTAAGCTCGAAATCTTTGTTATTGGCTGAGCTCGAGAGCGAGCTGAGCTTAAATTCTTGTCAAATACTCATCTTGGTTTCACGAGCATTCGAGCTAAACTCGAGTTAAAACAGTGCCTTTTTTCTCAGTAAAAAACTTTGAAAATTAAAGTCTAAAACTTCATAATCAATTTTATAATAATTAACCTCTCAAGAAATATGTATAAATGTACTCACCATAAACAAAATACTACAACTGTAAATTTTACAAAAAATACCTATCGAGGGTTGAGGAAGATAAAACGTAAGATATAAAATCATATGGTGAAATATTCGAGGTATTTTGTCTTTTATGGTACGGGTTGTTTTGTAAGAAAATTGAATTACTCGTATTCAAGGACATATTTGAGCCCAACTGAGCCTAATTTAGTTGAGTTTCAGATTTAACTTGTTCTCAAAACTAATATTAGTTAAACGAAGAAAAAATGAGTCAGACTTGAATTGTTTGTATCTTGTAACATCCCTATATAATTATATGTATTTGTGCTAATTCATGCCTATATGAACAGTCAGAAACAACAACTCACACTGATCACTAATGTACAAGTGTTCTATAACATTGTCTGATGTGATGCATATAGGAAGCAATGGCTTCTGGAATGCCTACAAGGCCACCGATTAATACAGGAAGAGGTCCTCAGACTAACACCAGCACCTCTTAGCACTTCTTCGGTTTTCAGTCTCATCTGTGTGGGTACTGCAGTATCTACTGCAGTATCTGTCACATATCTGAGTTGGGTTTGATTGCTTTTTTTTTTTTGTTCTTTTCCTTTTCTGTTAATTAATGTATGTGTAAGTATTAGTATTCTATAACCACTGTACATGTAGTGGGGTAAACATTTGATCTGAATTTTCTTAAGCTTCAATTAAACTTTATTTTTGGGAAATATTTGTGAGGTTCGGTGTTTTGTATCCATTGTGCAAAGACAGGTTGTAATTGTATGACGATATCTGAAAAAACATATCTTGAGGATGCCCTAAAACACTCGGAATGAGTTGGAGATCATGTATTAACACTATTTGTCTCATCATTTTGTAAAGGAAAGTAAACACTGCCAATAGCCTTTAAAAGGCCTCCCCCACCCCCCCCAAAAAAAAAAAAAAAAAAAACTGAAAAATGAAAATTCCAGTTATAATACCACTTTTCTTCACAAAAAATGATTAAGTCCTATGATAGAACAATAGTCATAGTTTTGATAATTTGTTCTCATAAAGTCATAAACTCCATCATAGTTAGTTTTGTACCAATTTTACTCCTCTCATGAAAACATTATTTACTGTTTTTACAATAATTGTATACCCAATTCTAATTTAGTTAAAATCATTTTTTCCATGTATCTCATAATGTCAATGCTTCTACAATTCCCTATGGATTTTGGCTACATTTGCTCTATATATAAATTATGGAATATTCCAACTCTCTAAAGATATAAAAATAATTATTTTTAATTATATGAAAATTAGATCTTAAAATATATGCAAAAATATAATTGATGTTTTCATGAAAGGGGTGATGATGCACAAAGTTGTCTATGCACGATCAATCAGTCGAGTGTGTAGTATAAAATAATTAATAAAATAGTTAATAATAAAAATACAAAGATTGAGTGGTTGAGTTTGGGTGACCTAACCACTAAAGGTGGTAACGGTGGCTGAAAAACTCTATTAATGAATGAGAGAGAGAGAGAGAGAGAGAGAGAGAGATAAATAGCCAGATATGAGGCTCAAGGTGAAGTGTTTGCCAGATCTACTCCTATGTATAGAGGGTTTATAATTTATAGACACAAAACTTTAGCTGTAATGGTGACATGAAGATCAAGTTACATATTTATTGGGAAGGATAGTTACTATTTGGGATAGACACTGTGTTGGAGTGATGGCTACCCCGATGATTACTCTCTCACATGCGTTGATTTTTCATGAACTCTTGAATTTTGGATTAGACTGAAGTCATGAGTTTTGGATTAGACTGAAAAAATTAGTTAAGTCCTATTTGCCTTTTGATTTAGGCTTAACCTATGGTTTAAGTCTAAGCCTGGCCTAGATCTGAGTTTGTCAAAGGGTAAAATGAGAACAAAAACAAACTATAATGCACTTTAGGACTTAATGAAAATAAATGATCAAAAGTATGACTTAATTGTACTAATAGAAATATAATCAAACTTAATGGTTGTTTATTGGAGCGACCTATGCTTGACATCTAGAAGACTTGCCCTCGATCTAATGGCTATACCTCCCCTCACCACATGTAATGCCAAACTCTTGTGGAAATCACACCACAAATAGGATTGTCATAATTATATGATTAAAATCTAAAACACATCGATTGCAATTTTGCTTTGATTTGATCATAGAATCCATATGCCACATATTCCCCATGTTGTATCTATATACTAAAAGAATCAAATTAAAAGGGACACGACTTAAAACGTTTTTGCTCTCGATTTCATACAATCACATTTTGTGATCAACCCTCTGGCCTCCACCCTTCTCCCCACTAGTTAATGCCACTCAATTTTTTTTTTTTGAAGACATATTTTATTATATCATCCCATAATAACAATATACTTCTCTATCCAATAATCCAAGTCATGGATATGGACAGAATAGTCATTCGTTCTTTCATCTGCTCCTGATGCCATAGGCTCTGACGTAGCTTTGTTGAAAATCGGAAAACCTGGTAAAAAATGTCATATATCGCAACATTTTAGAGAAATTAATTCACTTTCAGATTGTGATTTGAATAATGGACAAAATTTGAAACCTAGCATTGAAGCAAAAGAAGTTGTCACAATCTCTGAGGAACTGCAGAAAGAGAAAGGAAAAAAAAAAGAAGAGAAAAACTCATGCATTCTTTTAATAGAATACTGCCTGATCTCATAGAGCTGTGCAAAAACCGGTGCACGAAGCTCCGGTCGTTGCGAGATCTAAAAAAAATTAGATATACGCAGCACTCTCCTGTAATCAAAAAGACTGTTTTTACAATTCGAACCAATAATCTTCAAGTCAAAATAGAACAACTTTACGTTATGCCAAGGCGGCCCTCATATCCTAGAGCTGTGTATGCATTTAAGATGTAGTGGAAAATATTAATTCCCCACCGAGGAACTAGCTTTTCTAGCTAGGCTATTATTATTAGATTGTACTGAAGCTCTGTAAGATGGAAGCAATATAAAGAGACTCATCATCTTCCCTGGAAGAACTCATCTCCATGTCACATTGGTCGGCCTCTTCTAACTCAGCGGTTGGTGGCGGCAGCGGTGGCGGCGGTGTTGGTGACAAAGGGGATGAAAAGGCTAAAAATGGGTACTGAAAGTTGGTTCGAGCTTTTACAACACCACTAAAAGAGATGGATGAAAGATCATAGGCCAATGCTGCTTCCTCGGCAGTGTCAAATGAGCCCAGCCAGTGTCTCTCTTTGGTGTGTGGATTCCGGATCTCTGCCGCGTATCGGCCCCACGGCCTCCGGCGTACTCCTAGGTACCTTGTGGAATGCCTAGAGCTTCTTCTTCTAGGGTTTTTGCTGAATATAAGTGCAAGGTTTTCCATATTGCCTGCACTATAGAACTTGATAAAAAAAAGGTGATTGCAGGTTTAGAGTGGCAAAGGGTGGGTTGGTAGGCTTTGTAAACAAAACCCAGTAGGAAGATTTCAGTGGCTCTTAAAAATAACATTATGGACAAATTATACTTTGACCCCTTCAACTATTGAGTTTCTCCCAGTAGCTCATCAACTATTGAATTGGTTTCACATTGTCCAATTGAGTTTTTACAATACAAGTTTTTAGTGTTTCTTATTGGGGTCAAGTAAAATCAACGCTCTTATATAATTTGCGGTGCAATAAGAACAACCTGAAAATTGAGGGACAATGGAAAATCAACAATTTATAATATAAAAGAGGACACACTTTAATAAATTCATCTGACGATTTCAAATAGACTCATCCAACAGCTACTAACATCCTTATCAAACTATTCATATTATACCGTGCTTTCAGACACTGATTATCCCTAATCATATATAATTAAAGGTGTAATGAGAAAAGCGCAATAATTTAAGGGGGCAATGTGGAAACAATAACTCTAGTTAGAAGTACAATAAGAAACATGATATTCGAAGATCTAATGTGTGATAAAATGCATAATGAAGGGGTCAAATTGAAATTTACCTTAAGATAATAGAGTATGGATGCGAAGATGTTACTAAAAATTAGTTTAATTTATTCAAAGTGGGGCAGGTGAGTAGGATTGCCCACCATAGCATTAAGAAATTCAATGTATATAGTGATTTGTTTCTCTAGTGGCTGTTTCTTTTGATTTTCATCCTTGTTTTCCTCGCAAATGACAGAAATTAGGGTGAGCACAATGCGTAAATCCCTGCACTTCTTGTTGCATTCTTACTTGTTGGCACAAAGGATTAAAATTTTGTCTTCATAGAACATGTCGAAATATTTTTGTTTTAAACAAAGACTAAAATAAATTAATAGTGAAATCAAAATTTTAATATTTCGAGATGTTTTGAGTTGTTTTAGAACCAATATTTTTGAAAGATTTTGAAAATAAACTCTCAAATTTTTTATTCATTTTCTTACTGTTTTCGAAACGTTTTTAAACTATTTTCGAGACGTTTCTAAATAATACATTGGAATAAAATTTTGTTTCTTGGTTGCGTTGACACCTATTTCTTCTCTATATGTAACTTAGCGGTCAATCTAAATCCAACCCAAGCCACATTAAGTAATTATATTGAGATTTTTAATATCCAAATTGAATTTGGACAAAAGTTTTCAAAATGATTTATTTTAGGTAATACTTGGCTATTCAGGATCCAACCCAAATTAGTGACTTGGATTGAAATCAAAATTTAGCTCGAGTTGTGTAAAACTAGAATCAAACCAAAATCATCTGATTTTGGCCAGAGTAGAAACAATATTCCAAGTCGAGTTCAATCAGAGTTTTAAGTTTAAGCATGAATAAATATTGAAGTTTGTTTTAAGAATTTTATAACTTAAGTTGATCTCGGATTAACTTATCAATTTGTCTGAATTACACCCCTAGTCTTGTTTTATTTTTGATACAACGGTCAACAATATCTGGGCCAACTTAGATCTACTCTTACTTTCACATTCCTCTATGCAACAAAAATGAAAGGAACGTGAACGTGTGCCCAAAGTTTAAGAGAGGAAAATGTCCATGTTACTATCTTAGGGCTGCAACTTAGTTGGATTCAATTCGGACAAGTGGAGCCCAACTTGAACTTTCAAGAATCCATCCACAAAACTGGCCCTTAGAGATATATAAACTGTGGGTAGAATGCAAGGTCAAATTAGTGTTGTGATCTGTAGGGATAACAATTTTTGACATGAGTCAAAAAGACAATTCAAAATTAGCAGGTTGAATTAATTATTTTTTAACACGAATCCGTAAATGATACGATCTGTTAACACAAATCTATACTACTTCTAAAAGTGGTTTAAGGTGAAAAACTTTTAATTTTCTTATTTATCTTTTAGTAATTCTATAATATCAAGCATGCTATTATTTTTTATTTAACTCTTAGATTCTTCCATTTCTAGGAGTAAAGATTTTTGACCTTCAATTTTGTTTACTCATTATTATTTATTTTAAAAATTTTAAATTCTTACATTAATCTTTTAAAATTTTTAAAGAGCACTATGTATCATTTAATAACTCCATTGACTATATTATATACAACATGGTTTCATAATTTTCCACCTTTCCTATTCCCTACTAAATTATTATTCACAATTTAAAAAATTAGGTAGATAGAAGATCATGACTCTTCTACTATGTATAATCTAATAACTATAATTTATAACATAGTAATATATTTCCTCATATTTTCCTATCCTCCATTAAATGATTATCTATCATTAGGAAAACTTAGTGGACAACGATATTATTTATGTCTCTTAATCTTCTTTTGTTTAACCATGAACAAATTATCTCTCACAGAAAACGGGACGAAAAATCCTCTGACAACCATAAAAACCAGTTGAAAAACCTTTTATCTTCTCTCGTTCACATTTCGGTTTGAAAATCTTTTATCTTCTTTCTCTCTCTCTCTTTCTCACAAAAACACCCCTCCAAAACCCGATATGCCACACCACACATGAACACGTACAATCCCTCGGCGTTGGAATTTGCCTTGGATGGGAATCAATGGAGCTTTGTAGTTCTTGAAGTTGAAAAAGGAGAGGAGATGATGATGAAAACCGTGACACTCATAATCCTACAAGAAAAGTGAGTAACTTTTCATTTCGTTAACAATCCTAATTCAACTTTTGTAGACGCACATGAAGACGATGGTGAAAAATCGAACTTAAAGGTTGCCTTTTTCAAAAAATTGAGAGAAATGAAATTTTTTTTTAGCTCTCTTATTATGTGAAAGTATTGTATTCTTTTGTTCTGAGTTGTGAGTGAGGATGAAAATTTGATGTGTTACACCTATTGATAATGTTTTTTTAATCTTGTGAGTTCGGAATACACAAATTTTTTGAATTTGAATTCTTTGAAAAGGTTTACTTTGTTGAGAGTTTATTTTGCATTAGACGAATAGAAATATAGATGGATTTGATGATGGCACTTGTCCTAATGCATTTAAATGGATTGTTGTTTGAGGTCTAAATGCATTAATTGTTCTTCCCATATGGAAGGTCATTGTTCATTCATGCGATTTTTTTTTTTTCATTTATAGTTGAAAATTTGGTAGCTGTTATAAAATCCCATTCTTACGATATTTCAAAAAATTTGGTAGATGTTATGTGTATACTGTTATTTTTTGAATCAGTGAGCCCTTAACTCAAATGCAGAGATTTGTAAAAGACCATATGTATCCAGTGTCAACAGCTTAAAAGAAACTTTCGAGACTAGATTTTGAGTTTATTGTTATCATGTATTACTATCACTATTGTTTCAGGAACAGTAAAATTTGAAGCATCAACTTCCAATGGTCATCTAACAATTAAGGTAAGCGAAATGTGTGCTTAAGATAATTAAGTAGCACCCAAGTGAGTTTGTATGTCATATGTATTGGCCTTTCAGTCGAGGGTAAGACTTAATTTAATTAAAAATTTTCATCCACAGAATTCACATAGATCTTTTTTAATGTATCATTAGTATTTCCAGAATCAATATTCTCATGCCGAAAACACAAATAATTACTAAAATGTATTATAAACTTTTGAATAATCAATATTTTATGGAAGTTGTTTCAAGTTTCGTGGTTAGTAGCACGTGATGTATATATACATAATTTACTACTGATGAAGGTTGAAAAACCAACAATGATTTATTATGCACTTTATTTTTTTACATATCATTTTGAAGATTTGATTTGCCGTGAGTTTGCTTCAAGGTCATGCATATTATTGTCCTTTCAAGGTAAAACTTGACGCACTTGATATAAAAAAGTCATTCAATTTTTCATTTGGTAGGGATGAATCTTGCCCATCATGTTGCCTATGTGAATGATGATGGTTGATTTTTTTACTAGGATTGAAATATAGAATTAATTTTATTTAAGACCTAAGGAAGCAAATTGTAAGAATACACAAGAAATTATATATGTTTTTGGCAACTCAAAAAGAGAACTTAGAATAATTCACATGCTACATCTTAATCCATTGGAAGAGATTGTTTAACTCTTTTTTCTTAACTCAAATGTTGGATATCCTTTGTTATATTTTAAGTAAAAGGGAAAGGTAGGTCATTTTGTAGATTTGTCTGCAATACTAGCTGAACATTTTCAAACATTTGTTAAAATTTGTATTTATTTTTCTTTTCATAAACAATATTAATTGTATAGCAAGATTGTATCATTGTACAAATTCATTTTGAACTTGATGGTTCTCTTTTTCAATATAACTCGATGGTTCTCTTGCATAAGCATTATATTGAGAAACCTACCTCTTGTATTTTTGTTTTTATTTTTCTATGTGCTTACATGTTCTTGGGTCCTTGTATTTATGTATGTATATATTTAATACTATGCATAATACAAACTAAAACCTACAAAGTACAAACCCATATTGTAAAAACTAAAACCAAAAATAAAAATATAACTGAACATAATTCACGTGCAACACATGTGTACATTAACTAGTAATAAATAAGTTTGTGTTAGTATCAAACATAAACAATACGAAATTGACACAATTAACATATTTAACTAATATTATAAGATAAAAATAATAATTTTTTTTATCAAGTATTTACATAATTATGTTAGACCAAAACAGTTTTTTAAGTGTAAAAACTCAATTTTTGGTCAACCTTGAGTCTAAATTAAAGTGAGACTCATTTGTTGTTTTGAGTAAACTTTTGTGGATTCATATTCTACTCCGTAAGAAGAATAATATAGTATATTCACTTAATCAAATCAAGTAAGAAATGAATGAAAAAATATACTCCAAAGTGACCTTGATGTGGAAATAAAAGTTATGCAATGTGAGATTTGACATCAATCTCACATTAGTTGAGGAAGAAATTCAACATATACATATATAAGCCAAATTTGCTCTATGAGAT